AGGCCCTCTTGTTAGAGTCTGTACATTTAATGCTTTACAGTATCACCTTTTCTTATTCTCTCCCAGCACATCCAGCTGAGGTGAGTACAACAAGGTGAGGGGTCTCCAAAACAAGCCGGCGTGCAATAAAACAAAATGTGTTCTGTAAGCTAAATTAGATGAGTTGTTCCCAAAGTACAAAAAAAAAAGTTCTGCAAAGCTGCAAAAAGTATGAAAAGGTGAACTGAAACTTCACATTTAGAGGATGGTGTGTGACGTCCTCTAAGGTCAGAGCTGTGTGTGCAAAAAAAGAGACACATTCAAACCGTGTTGGCATGGCAACCATTGTGTTTGTCTTATTCCGTTGCTGCATGGGGCTTTGTGTGTCGCATTTAATGAAAACTATCTTTCAAGTTGTACAAAATAGACGACAAGAAGTGAATGCTGCTGGCATTAAACACTGCTGTGGTGTGCACATACAAAACTCTCAGGAGATTGAGTCTAATAGCTGTAACGAGCTTACATTCTAGCGTTAAGAAAAAGTCATATTTTCTGCAATAACAATCTCAAAGTAATGCGTATATAATATCACTGCTGACAGATCTGGTCAATGTGCTGACAGTCTTAACTCCTCGATGGTGGCAAGTGCTGCTGATAGTTCTTCTTTTAAAGGCAGACTATTGACTGAACTGAAGTGGAAATGTGCACTCAGCAGAAATCTCCCAGCAGGAGAAATTGCCAAGACCTCACTGCGGCTCGATTGCACACAAACATGGAATATGAACACACACACACACACACACACACACACACACACACACAGAGACACACACAAATCAGTGAACACTTGCAGCCCGCTCTTTTCAGCACAGGAAAGAACACTGCCAGTCGAGGTCTCTGAGCACACTTCCCACAGTACAATAGATGCCCAGGTGGGGGGGGGGGCGTCTTTAAAAGCAGAGTCTATTTAGAGAGGGATTGTGTTCACAGTGGGACCAGAAAAATGATGGTAGGGCCGCAGGTACTGACAGTTCAATAGCATGTACTGCTGTACGACTTTTGTATAATTTATTAATGAAAGTTTTGTCTCTTATTGCAGAATATGCAAATAAATAAAAGAGGCCGAGAAGGTCGAGTCCCAACGAGCTTCTTCTGTCCAATCGAGAGGCTAAAAGAACTTTAAAGACTTTTAGGGCATGTTTTTGCACCTGCAGCATCCACAACCTCAGTTTCAGAGCGCTTCACACGGGCGCAAACTGTTGCTAGGTTACAAGAGTTGACTTCTGCATAGCTCTGTGAAGACCGTTAGGCAGGCCCGATTCTACCAGGGTGCACAAGGATGCATTGCACCCTCAGTTTAAGCACGTGAAAAAAAAACAATATCCAAAAGTAATCAAGGCTATCAAATGACAACAGAGACTCAGAATGTGACCTGTCAGTTCACCGGGGACCACATGCTGGACCCATAAAACCTACGCTATTTTTCCTTTCTGTTGCTGGTCACGGTAGCGACCTTAATTTACTACAATATGTGAGGAAGAAAAAGCAATAAATGCCTTTAATCAAAAGACTAAATTCTGTTCTTTTTAATTTCTTTGTACACCACAGTTTCACAATCAGTCAGTTTCTCTGAGACTTCAAAGTCAAGCTGTAGCAAACTTAAACTCAGTCACTTTCACTCATGAACTTCCAGACCTCTGTTGACTTAAATGCTTGCTCTTGGTCTTGTCTCGGCCTCTGAGCACTCTGGTCTCGGTTAGTGTGGTCTTGACTACAACACTGTAGCTTACTGTGCGCATTTCCTACCAAAGTGATACATCCATCCATATGAAGAAACATTTCCAAGAATTAGCATCATTCAACAAAAACACATGATGATCCCATATTGAGATCTTGTAATTGCCCAGCTTTTATCTGGAAGAAGTTGAACTTTGATATTTTGCTTTGAAATTACTTCATATTGTGTCTCAACACCGCAACACTGACTCTACAACAATATTATATATAACAATATAAAAGTAATAGTCTGTGGGTCATTCATTCATGAAAATGGATATTTTAGTGTATCAGGCGGTTCAAGCTGTTGAAGGAACACAGATGCTAATAAACCTCCCCTGTATGAAGACGTCAAAGCTCAACACTTAGCTAGAAACCATGTTTCAGTGTTCGTTCCATTTGGTTTGATACTGACTGATGAGATTCTGATTACCTAAGGCATTTCATGAGAAGGCTGTCAAAAGAGAGCTTTGTTCAAACTCACAGACAGCGAGCTAAAGCATCCTTTGTAAAAAAAAATAAAAACTATCTGAGGCTGTCTGTCAGCTCCAGGGCTGCTGCTCTGTAGGTGACTTTGACTGTCGACCTCCCTGTGGAGGGGGGGGGGCGGGCGAGAAAACAGTCGCCTTTAGAGGAATCAATAAGCTATCACATTATCCTTTACTGTGCGGAGGAGGCCTTGAAGCAAAACTGTCTTCTTGATTATATGAAAGATGCCGTCTGACTGCACCAGGGCTGCAGTCATTTTGTTAATACACCTACTCAGCCAGGAGTATAGTGTTCAGACTCCAGCTCTATACACATCAACATACACAAACACGTGTGTTTTTAGCTGTTGTCTTTGATAAACTCCACAAGGTTTAAGATGTCACTTCACTGCCTGTGAATACTCTCTGTTTCCGTCTTTCATCCTAATACAAGAGATCAAACAAATGCATAACCATGACAACGTACTTTTTACTAGCTTTCTTATTATTGCTCCTTGATCCAGGCACACGGTTTGATATCAGCGTTAGTTCCACCTGTGGCGCTAAGTGGCTAACTATTAGCTCCCTGCTGCGCTTAATTGATGATTTACCTTTTAATCAGAGAAAACATGTTTAATGTCGAGATGCTTTACAATTTAAAACCTCCCTAAGGGGGCCCCATTTAAAAGCATTCACTCTTGGTGCCTTGCAAAGCGTTGCATGCATTGTTGGTGTGAAAACCAAAATGTGCCAATGAAAGTCAATCAAGAATAATAAAGAGGAATTATCCTTCTATAGGTAAACGGTAAAATACTGTAGGGGAAGGGGTGTAAGCTTCGGAACAATTTCAGACATTATGGTGATAAATGCAGGTTGTAGGGCCCCCACTTATTTTATGCCTGGGGCCACAACAGACTCTAGAATCGCCACTGGGCTGAGGTGCAGGTCGGAGCAGGCCGTGCATGAATGAGGACGGTGGTGGTTGGGGGGACGACACAGTCTGATGGTGGAGGCTGGGCGTCCGGGGCGTCGGGAACGTCAGGTGATAGTAGTGCTTGAGGTTGTAAAGTTGTTAGAGGAAGTCGTCTCTCAACCGGAAGGTCGGGGGCAGGATCAACTCCTCAACTCCACAGGTCCAATGTGTTCTTGGGCTAGACACTTAACCTCTTGTTGCTCCCGCTGCTTCGTATAGTCGCTGTATGAATATGGATGTTCATATTTCTAACAAGAGCAGAAACGTGGTAAAACTAGAATAAATATTGGAGATGCTGGGGGGGAGACAGCTCTCTCTAATGTTTTGAATTTGGACTGCAGTACCAATTTTAAACGCTAGGTGTCAGAGCTACATATTGCTGCTTTAAACAAACAAAGGAGAGGATAAAGTTTTTGGGGCAAACATATTTTGCAACCAGTGGAGTTTCCCTCTGCAGGCTAAAAGGAAGTTTGCAGGTTTAAGGCACCTCTATTGTCTTCACACAGAGGCGATTTACAACTCTAACATTCAGTCTATGTTATGCACATTCACACAGGAGTTTTCAGTCATTCTGGCCAATGTGAAAGCTGCTAAGGTCGAACAAATTTGTGTACTACAAGGAATTTAAAATACGTGTTTGGTCCCACTGTCACTCCTTAGCTAAGATTAAAGTTAGGATGCGATCACTCAGAGAGCTGAGAAGAGAGCTGATCAACTAAAATCAAAGAAAATACCCTCAGTGGGTGATTCATTTTAATTTGTGCCACCATCCATAAAGCTCCAATGAAGATGAATGAAATGCCATTTGTGCTCTAAGAAGCACTCAAACAAGGACATTTAAAAAATGTAACAGAGGCAGATGTCCCAGTTGATTAACCACAAACGCACATTTCACAGTTAGCAGTTTACATTTGGATTATTTCCTCTGTTAAAAATAGTCAAAGGCGAGCATTTTGTAATTGTCACAGCAGGGAAAAGCACGAACGCAACTCATAAAAGTTGTTGTTGTGACTGCACTCATTTAGGTGTCCTGTTTTATATTCTCTCTTTTGTTTTAACGCCGCCTCACTGTTATGGCTTCGAGGGGCCGTTAACGAAATCAAGACATCAATTTTCTTAGTTACACCTGTCTTTCTTTGCGGCAATAAAAAAGTTAAAATGCTCGCAGTATAAAAAGATCTATTGCGTCTGTGAGGAGACGGGGCTGATCATTCTTCTTAAAGTGTCACTACCCAGCGCTCCGACCATAAAAATATGTTGCTTATTTTTTTCACCTCGATGGAGTTGCAGAGGCAGGATAAATCTTCCAGACAGTAATCTTAATTTTAACGCAGAGAAAATCAACAGTTTCTTTACCTTCAGATTCATATGGGATAACGTGTTTGTTGTTATTGGATGAGCTGACTTTTTTTTAAATTGAATTCATCCAAACACAGCATAAAAGAGTGAGCTTATATGCTTATGGGCTAATCATATTACACTGTATGCATCATCATGAATAAGGCAACGCTTTGATTTCCCTGCAGACTGCGTCAGAAGCATCACTGCATACTTGACATTAACTTTTATCACTGTGAATGTGACATGACATCTGGAGTCTAAATGTACTAATGAAGTTGTGTAACATCATAGTATCTGACAACAGGGGGGGCGGAGGGAGGGGGAGGGGGGTGTTTGGATGGAGAGCAGGCATGACATTATCTCAGACATAATGACATCACACTGATATTATTACACATAACACGATAACAACACCCATTTTGGTAATTTTCTCCAGACTGAGGTAGGAATAAGAGGAAACTTACCAGCAGAGGGATGACTCACTGACTGGAACATCTGTCGAAATGAAAAAAACAGCAACCATGAGACAAACAGACGTATTTAAAAATAAAAAAAATGGTTAGAATTTCTTCACATTTCAGGGAATGGGACTTTTTTGTGGTAAGGTCATATTTTCTCGGCTTTTGTGTAGAATTTTAAAAATGAAAATACTACTCAAAAACAAAGTTGAACTGTCTGACATGGAAGACATTTAAGCCGAAAGATTATTAATGTACTCACTCTGCCAGCTAGTTATTTGTTTGTGTTAACTCTGAGAAACAGGATGTTTATTCAGTTCAGAGACTTTTATTCAACTCGCAGGTGGAAACGCACACTGAAAAATCCAGGTAGTCTCCCCGCACAAAAACGCTCACAGGCGCTGCCACCAAATAACTAAATATTAATGTAAGAAACCTGAGAGACGTCACCCATCTGTTCCTGCAGGGGGCTCCGGAGGCTCTCTCATTAACTTGACTTTCTCGTCGAGGTTAGTTTGCATCTCTTTTTGGTGAGCTTTCTTCTTGTTTTATGTTTCTTGTTTCTGGTCTTTTATTTTTTTTACAGGTCTTGTTGGTCGTTTAGCTCTTTTTTTACTTTTTATATTTTTCAACACCCATGCAGCACTCAATGCATCTGCTTTTTGACAGAAAAAAAAACAAAACTATTTGTGTTTATGAATCACAGAATCCTCATAACCTGTTCCTTGATTATGAAAAAAGTTTGCAATGTTTGGGCATCACGTCTTGAAAAAATGTCCTAGATGTACTTTCAAAGGTAAATTCATTAAAGGAAGCTGCTGTTCAGCAAATGCCAAAATCAATTTCCTTTGCTTGCCACCGTGTAAAAATGCCATCTGACGAGGGAGAGATCTCAGCTGCTCTCAGCTCTGGATTACATAACAGACCTCCTCTACACACTTTTATCAACACCCAGAAGTCTCCCTACGCATCTCCACAGCCCACTTAACGGATTACCACACACACAGGCTTGGTAAAAAAAAAAGAAGAAGCTTTTTAATTAAGCACTAATCGCTTCACTTTGTCCCACAGACCTTCTCTAAGACCTAAATCTCCCTCTTTACCTCGCCGTGTAATTACTGGTGTCTGTTTGGCAACGTTAGCCAGGTAGTAAATATATCATACTCTACATCTACATAACTTCATCCAATTAAGGGCTAAGTTAACTCTGCTCTCCTCTGCCTGTCTGCCTGAAGCGATAATTAAATGCTGCTGAAAGGAGATTAAAACAACAGACAACCGGCTCAAGTCCCTCAAACAGCGAGGGGCTTTTCAGACACTGACCAGATTTTAAGAGGAAACAATCCATTTGAGACTAAGAGGAAGTTTATCAAAAACAGATTACTGTAAAGTCACAGTTATAACAGGTCAGTGCTCTGCCTGGTAGCAGGTACAGGGTACATGTGAAGCGCTTGAATCAAACAATAGAACGGTTACTTCAGATACTTGTGCTGTGAGCTTGAAGGCTAACTTAAAGGTGCACTATGTAGATTTGGTAGTGACATTTGAAAGTTGGTTAAGTGTGACAAATTGTCTGAACTAAATACACAAAATTTATTCAAAGGAAAAGATGGGTCCCTGAACCCTGTTTGGAGCTAAAAAGCTACCAGGAGAGTTAGTTTCACTGTTGCGGGCCCACCATAACTTCTTTCGTAGCATTTCATCTTCAAACAGTGATACAGGGACCACAATTTCCTCTGAGGACAGTTTGTATATAGTTATTAACATAAACCACAGAATCTATACATTTCTCCAACTTTCACATTTCTCTACCAAACCTCCAAAGTGCACCTTTAAGATAACATTACAGTGAAGCTAGCTTAGCTACTTTGAACAACCTATAAATCAACATATTTCAGGACTTTACAGTCGATAATATTTGGCCTGATGACATGTTTGTTTACTGTCTTACTGAGAGTTGGTTTGCAGTGTTTGCATCATGCAGTATTTTGTTACCTCAGTCACTGTTTCCAGGCGGTTACCTTCAACGTTTTCATTAACGGTTAACGAACGTTAGCTAGATTTCCCACAGTTTAAGCTTCAAGGGAAAAATGTGGCAAAAGTTGGCCTAAGAAACATAAATACCTCTACCGGTGTTATGTCGAGAAATGCATCCCTGTCGAGAGTTGCATACACCACTTCTACATGCTCACTGCCGTATTTTGCACCCACCTTTAAATTTCCTCTACACTTTAGAGTCAAACACTGTTTGCAAGTCGAATTTACGCAGGCTAATGAAAACGCTTCTACCGAGTCTGAAGAAAAATGAGGCCTCTTAATGTTTAAAACTTCAGATACTTTGTCACCTATAAACTACTGAATAGATGGAATTACCTAGAAGATATTGCATGTCCATTATTTGTTTTATCAGAAATAGCTGCATCAAGAATTCAAGATTAAAACTACAATTCCATCTGCTTAAAAAATGTCACACAGTGGCTCTAAATCAGGGGTGCCCAAACAGTCGATCGCGATCGACAGGTAGATCGCTGAGTGATTCTCAGTCGATCGCGAGATGTTTAGTCAATATAAAATACAAACGTAAAATAGAAACTTAATTTCAATTTCATCTCATTGCACTGTTTCCCACACATAGACGATACCTGTGTTGGGAGCCCAAGTATACTTCCAACCTGTTTGTATTTAATTTATTCATGAAATTGCTGCGTGCATGAGAGAGCGAGCGAGAGAGCGAGAGAGCGAGCGGGGGAGCGAGAGAGAGAGAGAGCGCGCGCAAGAGAGTGCAGGCACGCGCAAGTAAACCCGGGGGGGGGTAAATGTTTTACCAAAAAGTCATATAGAAAGTATGCTGTGAGTTAAGCGCATTTGATGTAGCTGCAGCTACTTTTCTCTGCTGTCATGACTGTGAGCATCGCGGGGCACCACACACACACCCCCCTGCTCTAAATGCACAAACGACCAGACATACTGTGCGAAATCCACTTCTACAGTGTTTTTGAACATATATTTGGGTAACCTGAGTGTCTACTGACCCGCAAAATGTGAAATAAACCCATCCAGTTCTTTGTTTGTGGTCTGCATAAGTCTTACAACACAGAGAAAAATGCTCCATTTCAAATTTGCTCTCCTTGTGATGTCATAGTGGGATTCTTGTAAAAAAAAAAAAAAAAAAAAAACCCTCCCTTCCCCTGGTATCTCCATTAAAATCAATCTACTTCTCAAGGAAATGTATTACCTCCAGTAGAAAGTGCTGCTGCATCCTTGGTGGCATTCCCCTCCTGTCCAGCAGGGGGCAGAGTTTTTACTGGTTGTTTTTCATCAGTGCCTGGTTGTGGTTTCTCCTCCTTTTTTGAGGAGGCACACTTGACAGTGTCAGAGCTGATCCCTTTACCGTCCTCCTGATTTTTCTCCTCGTCTGTAGTGTCGCCAAAGGAAAACGCTTCCCCCTGCTCCTCATCTTCCTCCTCTTCGTCCTCTTTTGGCAGTTGCTGAGGCATCACAGTAGACATAATCCCTAAAAGAGAGAGAAATTTGAAGTGTAAGTAATTCATATACACAACATGTGATATGAAGGGAGCACCTGTAATGTAAAAATGATTCACAACACAATGGAAGCAGAACTGGATTAAGGAGAAGATAAGAATACTGAAGGCTTTCATGAAATAATGAATTATACCTAAATGGATGAAAGGGAAAGTTGAGATGTTTTGTCTGTCTTTAGGGATTTGCAACCCTTCAAATATCGCCCTACTTCCAATTAAAAGGATAGAAAAAAAAGGAGTGTACAAACATCAGGTTGGAACCATTTTTCCCTCTCCTGGATCTGATAATAAGATGCACTTTACATGAACTCAGGAAATATTGCTGCACACTTTCACGTGCTTTTCCAGACTGCTGACATTTAGACCGGCACCCTTTGTGTGATTAGAAAATGTTTGGAAAAGGTCAAAAAAGGTAAAAGGACTCTGGGTTGGAATGCTCTTTGGTCTTATAAACAAACTAAAGCAGCTTAACAAAATCAGCCATGTTAAAAAACACCTTTCAGATAAGAAATCAGTGTTGTGCTAAATTACACTGGCAATGTTCTGTGTTTACAGCACTAATGTGGTCTAAAAACCTCATTCATAACTACAGGGAATGAGGTGAAGGCCCTACTTGGTGTTTTCTTTAGTGCCTATAAACACTCTAAATTGAGCATCTGTTTCAAACTGTTTCCAAACAGACATGAAATATAACTCAGATAAAGTAAATGTGCAACTATTCACTTATTTCAGATGGAGAGGGACAGATAAACAGAGAATAATCCTGGATATAAACATGACATATGGCCACTAGTGAGACCGTTGTTTAATCCATAGACTGTAAATATGAATGGATGAATGACGTCAGCCATCTGTTACAGCAGGGGACTCAACAGAGGCAGCCGCCATGTTGGAAACCCTGTCTCAGCCTAACTTTCAGTCAACCTCACGACAGGCTGAGAGCTGCAGCTGAGGCAGGTTTTAAAGCGTCTTGTCAAACTACTTCACCGTTCCGACCTGTCAATCAGGTCAGCTGAACACCTAACTATGGATAACACCAGCGGTGTAGTGCAGGGAATGCGAAGATGAACGGAGTATACCCACTTATTTTTCAGTCTCCATAGAGCAGGGGTGGGCAACTGGCGGCCCGGGGACCACATGCAGCCCCAATTCAACCCTCAACGTGGCCCTCAGGTCAATTTTTACATATCAATTAATTGGAAACATGAAGAAAACATGACAAAATCTGCCATGAAATCCAGAAATATGTCCATAATAATATTTGATCACTGGTATATATTGACTTAAAATTGAGACATAATTGACTGTAATTGTTTTTGTATACTACAATTTAGCCGTCTGGCAGTGAGAATTAAATGAATGTGGCCCTTGCTGTGACCAAAGTTGCCCATCCTTGCCATAGAGTATACGCACTTCTATCTGCTCTGATTCACACCAATGATTGACTGACTATAATCAGTAGTTTGCTGCAAGCTGGTGAAGGGATGACCCTCCCTACTCTGTCTCTGATTGACCAGTATGTACTAACTGAATGTACATGAGTAGTCTCACATGTCACTGTTTATAGCAAAGGCCATTTTTCCTCTGCCGGACGGGTCACTGGAAGAAATACGGAAGTTGCCTCTTGGTTAAATCAAAGTCTGATGTTGAGGCTTATTGGCAGATTAATTAAGATATCCACACACACACACACACACTGATGAAAACACGTGACCAATCAGAACAGACCTCAATTACCTGAGAGTCTCCGTTTCATCTTTGTCTTATCAGTGAACGTGGGTATGGCAGAGTACAAAAGGACAAGACGTTATAGGTATTAATTAAAAACTTAAAGTGCAACATTAGCAAACACAATTAGATTTTAAAGCGGTTTGGTTTCAAGACACAACCTCAACGGAAAGCTCAGCATGTAAATTGACAGGTGTAATCATGGAAATTAGATTTAGTTCAAGCATACGTTTGAAATAAAATGTAAATTTTCCATGACACAGATGCCCTCGAGGTATTTAAATGCTGCAGAAAACAGCAGTTCTTTCATTATTTCACAAAGAGGGGATTTTCTACAACTCTGTTTCTGTACATGTTAGTGTGCCACTCCTGAGCAGCATCTGCTTTGCATTTTGATTAGCTCAGAGCTTGCTCCCAGTGCTGGAACATTCTTGGACCTGATTGGGCTTTTTGTCAGGCTCCTTTGGGAAAATGAGAGCACGAGCGGAGACGGCTGAACACGGGCCGGCTTTGCGGGGGGGAACAGCTCTGAAAGAAAGACGTTGCCGGTGGATTGTGAAATTCACTGTCAGCACTAATTGTGTAACCTGGATACAAGGGATGTCATGATGTCAGTTATGGTTCTCGTTACTTTTTACTGCTGCTGAGTTTGGACACTGGGTTTTCTTGGCACTGTGGTTTGGGGATATTAATGGCTTTGAATGCTGAATGGCCTCATGGTGGTGTTAAAAGCTTTTCTGAAGTTTAAGAATAGAGATGTGTATGTTACCTATGATCAGTTAAGGTTTTAAAACTACAGGAGATGACAGACAGCAGGGCTCGGGAGCCGGTTAGAGTACTGACACGGACACTAAGTGATGTAATAATGTGGACATAGTTTGAAGCAGAACTAACCTAAATTATCTCTTAAAAGAAAGTAAAAATAAAACCACATTAGACTTATAAAGCACTTTTCTGACTACTCAAAGACACTTAACAAAGAATAACAACAAAACTAAACTGTGGAAATTATACATAGAAGAAATAATGTAAAAGAAAGAGGATGAGAATATAGTTTGTTATGGTTGTAGGAGATGTAGAAGTTTTTAGGGATTTCTTGAAGGTGGAGAGAGAGTGAGTTCTAGAGAGTGGGAGCGGCACTGGAGAAGGCTCTGATGCAAACCTCCTGCCCATGTTGTGTTGAGGCTGCCACTAGACGGGGCTGTCGCTCCCGTTAATGGCTACTGCCGCTCTACTACCAGGATGTAAACCAGCACATTGAATGGATGGCGTCACATTCAGTAGGGAGGATTTTGATCAAGAAGATGGAGACAAAGTTGTGTGTAGGCCGTGTCAGGTTAACCTGTCATAGAACCACTCCAGAGGATCAAAGGCTGGTGCTGTTAGCACTGCTAACGTTAGCCACATTCAGCAAACCACCACCATTGTTTACCTGCATACAATGTGATCCTGTGTTTCGCTGTGTTTGATCAATTTTGCTCGATTGTGAGTGTTTTCTGAGTTTTTCCTTAACTTTAGTCTATATTTAAGTGTGCGTCTAATCGATGGTGAAATTAGTCTCTTGGAGCTTCCCTATGCCCCTACACATGCTGCATTCTGTATTATGCTACAAAAGCTCAATGAAAACTGTTCAGGTTGGGGGTTTATGGAAAGATAACCCATAAAAACAAATAAAATGAAATGCTGTTCACATGAACATTTCAGTCAACTAGAAGAAGTAATAGCTGCAGACGGAGAACAAATGAAAGGGGAAGCATAATTTAAACCATCCCTTTAAGAAAATTATAGACTATAAGTCTTCTGCTTTGTTTAGAAACCAATCCTCGGCCTGTTTACAACTATGATATGCCACTGCAGCATTTGGACCCAGCAGCCTCCTCTGCACAAACACAGTTTCTACAGTTGGCCACGCGTTGGTCCATTAAACAATGACTCTTTTGTGGAGGGAAAAACTTCAGTTTGGTCCTAAGAAAGCATTGTTTCTACATTCGTCACTGCAGTACTGATTAGCTCTAAGGTCATTCGGGCCTTAGCTGTTCAGGCTTTCTACAGATCATGTAAAGGGTGGGAAATGGAGGATTTTGTCCAAAGAAAGCAGCACACTCTCTTGAGGACAACAAAAAGAATCATTGGTGTATAATTTCATTAAATGTCATTGCCATGATACTTTCATTGACTCACTAATCATTCTTGATAGCTAACTGGAGCAAATGGGGATCCAGAAATCATAAAGGTTCAGTTTATTATTAGATGTTAAGATTTCCACCTCGTTTCCTCCAGCAGGTTGGCTGATACCTTAAATAGATCCATTTCCTCACACTAATACTTAAACAGAAACCCAAAAAGTTTCTCACAAAAAAAAAAAAAAGGTCCTTCTCAGAATCAAAATGACAGGTACTCTAGGCAACCGTCTTTGAAGGGAAGGCATTTGGACAAGCCATCAAACAGACTCTGGCTTAGAAAAATAAAGAGCCCTGAGAGTGGAGCACTGTGTGAAAGCTATTCTTGAGGGGAAAATAAGATACATCACAGAATAGAGATGAAACCAACTCCTACACACCCTGTCCCTGACCTACATAGGGCTGTGAAAACGTGGACCGAATGTGGTAATGAAGGGAGGGATGTTGTACAGCGGAAAGACTGACATGTTTGCATTTTCACAGGTGATCTGAGGGACACACGGACACACGTTTGCAGTGTGACAGCTTGCAGGAAAAACATGGTTTTTTTTTAATGAAAAAGTTCTTGGATTTGGAGTCGTCTTATATTTTTCCTCCACTTTTCAACTACTACTTCTCAGGTCCCTGTGGTACTTTATTCCATTTTGCAAATCAGTAAGGAGGTCGGAAATGTAATGCGCTTTAAAATCTCAAATTGAGTGACATGGTTTACAATCAGATGAAAAAAGGGGTTTCCAAAACGAAGCTTTTGGCCTGGATTTTGCAGATCAGCTTGCCTGGATATTTAGTTCTAGCCACTGATTTACAGTGTGTAATGTTTGACCAGGGCTGCACAATGGTGCAACGGTTGCCGCTTTTGCCTCGCAGCGAAGATGTTCCTGGTTCGAATCCCAGGGTCGGTCAAGGCCCTTTTTCGTCTGGAGTTTCTCCCCGTGCATGCATGGGTTCTCTCCGGGTACTCCGGCTTCCTCCCACAGTCCAAAGTTTTTGCTTGTTAGGTTAATTGCTGACTCTTAATTGTCTGTTAGTGTGAATGTGAGTGTGGCTAAATCAGCCTTGTGATTGACTGAACCAGGGTATACACCAACTCTCGCCCAATGACAGCTGGTATCAGTTTCAGCCCCCCAAACAAGAAAAGCAGTAAAGATCATGGATTGATGGAATGTTTGACCGACTGCAGACAACCTTTGCAGCCATTGGTCAGTTGCATTCTGGTGTATCAATAGACAATGGCGGATAGCAGCAGCAGCTGGTGACGACTGAATAAACACCATTTGGAAACCGAACAGAAAGTCACTGAGAGAACTGCTTCTTAAGGCTCTTCTTTAACAGAAAACGACATTCAAACACTCGGCAGACAACAAGAGACCAGTCAGCCATTGACGACAACAAACAGTGCCAGGCAGAGACGTTGATTCTGCCTCTGGCGCTCCTTCCTTCTTCAGCTTCCTGGAGGACCTCCCCATCAAGAGATACTAATGTTGTGACTGTGCCATTTATAGGAGACTGGAATCAGCTCCTTGAGAACTGAAGGAATATGTCTTCCTTTAGGCTGTTGAAACACATCAAGAGATGATTGAGAAGATGTTCTCAGACATTTGGTTCCTTTGCTTTCACTTGAACATAATTTTGCCCGATCAAAAATGCCAAAACTCTGAAGAAGCGAAGACTGTTGCATTATATATTATGATCATTATGAATATTTAAAATTTCACTTTAAATTAATTTCTGATGACTGTTTCGCCGAAGGCCATGTGGAATACGCAATCAGTGTAAACACAACATAATAAGAGGGTTTTCTGTGCATATTTGACACACAGTCTATTCTCACCTTCCTCTAGGTTAGCATTGTTCAGACAGGTATTTATTAATAATGTGAGATTCTGTCTGGCCTTCATGTGCCCTCTGTGGTAGAGAGCAGCTCCTTTGGTGTCAGTCCACAGCAGAAGTGATGTGCTGCTGGTGTCACCTTAGTCAAGGACACAATGGGACCTGCCATCTGCCATGTGTGCACACAGCACAATAGAGCACTGGAATGGTGTTTGTGTGTTGTACTCAACAACAACAGGGCAGAGATAAGAATGTCCTGGATGTGTTGACTACACAATGCTTTAGTAAGTCAAGAAAATACATTTAAAATGGATAAAAGGAAGGTCAAGTCTTTTAGTAGCTCTCCCCACAGTTTTCAGCCTTTGACGAGTCGAAGATGACTAATAAAACCTGTAGCACAAGGCGGTTATATTATGAGTCAGAGTTTCTGGATTGCAAAACTCTCAGCAACCTAAACTTCTCCTCCTGAATTTGAAAATGTTTTAAAGTACTGAACAGTAAAGATATTCCTACTCCACCTAGATGGATGTAGCAGCTCATCAAACAACTTGTTTTCAGTCAGTATGCAGATCTAAACTTGCAAATCAGAGTACATGGGTACAAATCTATGTTTTACAGAAACTGGTTTTCCATGAGAAAAGAGGTGGAAAATTAGGGGCTTAAAAGCAACAGTGAATGTGAACTACCATCATCTTATTATGTTAATTATATGTGAGTGATTTTGAAAAGCAAAGATGAAAACAGGCTGCAAAATATTCTATTGATGGCCAAAAAGCAAGACGACATACATGGCTAATCATTCCCATTTCTTTAATTTTGACTGTCCATCTATTTAGTACATTCTGAGAGTTTTCTAGAGAGGATGAGGGCATCATTTTTGTCACTTTTTCTAATCTTAACTTTATATGTATGCAAGTATACAGACTGAAACTTTGTGTTAGAAAGGTAAGCTGTTATATATGAACTACATTCTGAAGGTGGAGGCCTTTATCATTATTGGGACAACTCCAAGACCGTAAATATTAATGGACAAATCCTGAGTGACGTCACCCATCTGTTACTGCAGGGGGCTCCGGAGGCTCCATGCTGGAAATCCCGCCACAGCCTCACTTTCAGCCAACTTTCAAGAGCTGGAGCTGAGGCGAGTTTTAAGCTTAATGACAAACAGCTACTCTGCGCCTGCCTTGCAAACAGGTCAGACTTGCACCTAACTTTGTATAAAATGAAAATGGATGCATTACAAAAAATGTACAGTGTGTGCCCATGAGGACAATAACTAATCAGACCTATTTCATTTTTTGTACCAGGCTGTAAACATGCTAATTTCTGCTGTAAAAACTGTTTTTTTTTTTTTTTACTGTGGTGTGCATGTGACTTCTCGGACTCTTGGAGCCAGCCTCTAGCAGACACTTGAAGTACTGCTGTATTTTTCACTTCTGCATCGGCTTTATTTTTGAACACCGGAGGTAGTCACTTGGACAATCCTCAAACTGGCACAGAATTAAATTCAATAGAAGATGGACCCAGCACAAGTGGAATTCTGATAACAGATCAAACTACTTCAAGAGAGAATGAGATCATGATCTTTTATCAGTGTTAAATCAGTCCATTTAGACCAAAGTATGATTCAGATGCTACCTGTTACATGCCCATGTATATAATTAATTAAACTCTAAAGATTAAAATCTCAAGCCAAGTCGTCCTCACGGCTTTAGTCTCACTCTTGCACTTCTCCAGAGCCACAGACGACCTTATACACCAATTGCAGACTTCCCTATTTAATCCTTTGACACTTGAAGTCACCTGTATGTGAAAATCAGTATATTGATGAGAATATTTGTACACATGATGATGCTTTTATTCTGCTAGCTGTTCTTAATAGTTCACCAATGACCTAGTTTGAGAATTAAAGAGCCTCACTCCCATAGCCCAACTCAATAACTTTATCTTTCACCTCCAATAAGATCAAGTATGAGAAAACACTCGTAACACACCTGAAATGAATCAAAGCTCCAGTATGAAGTTTCCTCTGAGTGTGTGGAAGATGTGAGTTCCCTCATCCATAACTTCAAGGACCACATCTATGACGTCCTCTAACAGAAGAACTGTGTGAGTTACAGCGACAAAGATCTAAAAAGGTCTGATGTAAACAGTGTGTTAAAATGTCGTTATTTGATGCAGCACGCTCACACAGTCGGTTGTTGCCTTTGGCGTCAGTCATTGTGTTTGATACGATGTCAGCCATTCTACAGGTATCAAACCAGCTTTCACTCTCATTGTAAAAGAAACACAGCTGAACCTTTTGAGGTGTCTGTCAAATCAGATATCACATTGTGAAAATATACTCCTGAATTCAAGCAATTGTACTTTTAACGTCTGCCAAAGCAAATCTTCCCACAATTACATGTAAGCTCAAGATGTGGGTTTTGTGAATGATGAGGGGTTAGGACTGGAAACAGTAGAGGTAGTGATAAGAAATGCCCTGAGAGTTTAGTCCTGATACAACATGATGTGATTTTTAAACAGTTTGTTCAATGCTGAGTATTATGATGTGACTTACTTCTTTTTATAACATCTAATGATGTAAGTGAATGTTTTCTCTGAACAGGACAACAAGACACTTCATCACATTTATTTAGAATAAATCAAATGTGTAATCCAACTTGTGCAATAACAACGGGTAGAAAAATTAAAGTTTAATAATGAAGCCTCCATCGTAACCTTAATCTGACCCCACTAGAGGCTGACTCAGCAGTATAAATGGTAAATGGACTTGAGCTTGTAAAGTTATTTTCTAGTCTTCTGACTACTGAAAGCGCTTTGACACAGAAGTAACTAATCCCATTCATGCACATTCAAACACCACCAACGAAGCAGCAGGAGCAATTTGGGGTTAAGTGTCTTACCCATGGACACATCGGACATGTGGCTGCAGGAGCTGGGGATTGAACCCTTGACCTTCTGGTAGAAAGATGACTGACTCTACCAACTGAGCCACCACTGCTGGCACTATCAGGCTAATGTTAGCCAAACTCAGCAAACCAATTTGACAGATGCTTGGATCCTGTTTAGTCTCGTTAAATAAACTGTTGTTATTTTTGACTCTTTTCTTTATATAGAAAAGCCAACAAGTCCGAATATAATTCGTTCTATTTTAATTACTTGCCTTGCAACATCCCTAGTCTCATTGAAACCTTGATTAGTGTGTTTTTGTTGAAGCCATTTGCTTTGTTGCTGCAGGAGCTGGGGATTGAACCCCCAACCTTTCTAGTTGAGAGACAACGACTCTACCAACTGAGCCACAGCAACCTCAATAATGTCCTGTAGCCTGATAAGTATAAGTACCTAAAAGTGTCATGTTTCGATGTAATATTACCAGAACTATTTAAGGAGTGGACATTACATGGATTTGAGTATCCCTGTTACGAGCCTTATCCTGGTTTTGATCACATTTGGGACATGGTGTTTACATGCACAAAGAGAAACGTGGGACCATTTTAACAAAGTCCAAGAGTTTCTCCTTGTGACAAAGTTCTAAGAAAACTCTAAGAATCATGGATTTCCCCTAAAAGTTAAGGCTAGATCCTCGTAAAGATGAAAGCTACTCACAAAGCGTGTAAGCCCTTCAGAGAGCTCCTCAGGTGTGAAACTGTGAGGAGTAGTGAGGAGGACTTTAACAGGATGAATAGTTTCTCAAGCTCTCCAAACACCAGACAAAAAATATCTATGCAGACATTTCAATCCATCTTGGAGTTTTCTCAGTGCAAAGTGAGACATGCATGTTGAGTTTCTCCACGTGTGGTTACCTCCACAGGTGCATCCAATCACTAATTAAGCCTCCTCACCTGCTGATGTAATGATCATGTGAAGAAGCTGCTGCGGAAGTGGGCATGTGATTTCAAACATTTGGTAGGATACTTTTAAAGTTTGTCTTGCAATTCATCACACAGAGATGCCGATTTCATAGTGTTCATAATTACAAACTGTCTGACTATATTCTATGATTTGTTTTACATTTATTGGATTAACCAATCACAGCTTCTGAAAAAATGTGTCATAGCTAGCAACAGGGTCAACAACACCTCCTCACTAAGATAAAAGTTTTTCTCCTAAGCTAAGACTCCTTGCCAGGATTTTTTTAAAGCAAAGTTCGGAGGTCTCTCAGAGGATTCTCAGAATGCTTGTGAATACAGGCCCAGGTTATTTTTATCCCTGTGCACATTATAAATACTGGTATCACAGTTTCTGATTAGTGCATCTTATTTGCGCAGGCGCCTGCAATGTTTATTTTTTACAACACAAACCATAGTTGTTGGGAAACTGTCTGATCACCACAGACTCGAGTAGGTCAGCATTACAAAGCTTTTTCCCATCCAAACTTCCAACTACATCTAGTTCTTTGATTGCTGAAAGACAAAACTCAGCTTCTTAATCGCTCCAGAAGTGAGACACTGATACAGCACTTGGCTGAAGCCACATCTGTGCAGGTGGTCAGTAGCTATCAGAAACCGGGTTCAAGTGTATACATGCTACAGTACCCGGTTTTGTTTCGGAGTTCTCCAGGTAGCAAAATCTGGTTTCTCAAAATCCAGATAATGGCTTTTCCTGGTTTCTGAAATCCGGATGTACATGCACAAACACAAAAACAGGACATTTAACAATACACGATCAAAACCAGGATGCTAAAGTCCGTGTACGCACTGCAGGTCTGTGCATCAATAGAGTGTAGCCAACAACAAAAATGGATTAAATGCCTTATCAAGTTTTTCCCACCATTACTGACAAGTGTGATTGGGATATGTTTGCCTTGGACAATGATATCAGAAGAGCTGTCAATAAATTAGACAAGTCGTGTTCACTGCCATGATGCAAGTGTGACAACTAAATACTTCCCCTGACTTTGTCCTTCTAAAGTTAATTATCTAACACTCCCAGGGGAATGCAGACAGTGTGTAATGTAGCCCACCAGTAAACATATGGCAGGCGTGTCACCAGTATCAAATGACTGATTGTGTACTTGAGCACCTTGCCCTTGCATGTGTACATACGATTGCATGAGAGCAAGTTTTAGTGGGTGAATGTGTGGCAAAAGGAGAGAGTTCCCATTGATAGTGGAGTCTTTGTGGTAGCTTCGGGCCATGCATGCAAGGATTGTAAATGTCTGGTTGAAGTGCTGCACTGTGACTAAGGAGAAAAAAATCTGATACAGTGAGTCCATGGAGCTGGAGGGGGGGGGGGAGGCACTTGGACATCCGGCTAGTGAGGCAGAAACAGTGCCCTAGCTTAAAATGCAAATGACTTGGTCAGAGGTCCCTTCTCCCCCCTCTTTTCTGTTCAGAGTACAGAGGCAGCGTGAAATCCATCCTGGGAGGGGCTATTGTACTCCGGGAAGCAACCGTCAAAACTGGAACTGTTGAGGCCAGGGAATCTCTTTTTATAGCCCGAGGATGTGGTGGAGCAGTGCAGCCGGCCAGAGGTGTGCTTCTGAGATGATCCGCCAATCTCTCCCTCATCCTTCCTGGTGTCTGTGTCTCAGGATCTGCTGCTATCACAACAAGGCCTCACGCTTCTTTAGCCCCGGCTCGCTCAGGTTTAATCGTCCATGATGGTGTGTGCTCTGCCAAAAAAATAAAAAAAGGGCCACACGTGTGCCTTCTGTTTCCCATCCTCTCCTTCTCTGCCTTTCTCTTGTCCTCTCTGTGAGCTGTTGGACAGAGGCACAAACCAGCACTCCCACCAACCCCCCATGCACCACTCCATCAATGGACAAAGCTGCTGTCTTTGCAACATGCTAACCGTGCTCAGAGAGAGAGGAAGGAAGAGGAGGATAGAGAATACAGGAAGGAAAGAGGGGAAAGTGTTTCCAGGACAACAAACATAAACGCCTCTCACCTCCTTGTCCTCAGTAGTGTGTCCTCCGAGAAGCTTCAGGCACTCCCTGGTGACCCTTTAATCCTCCCATAAACTCTCTGTTTTCACTACACGGCCGGCTCCAGCTCACTCATCTTTATGGTCTCCTGCGAGGGCTGCTAGTAGCTGAAACAGATTGGAATTCTCCTCTGCTGTTTACTTTCCCACAACTTCTCCTCCTGCACCGTGTGCACTGGCAGCTCTAGATGAGGTAACCCTTTTTGCTCCCTCCCCCTTTTTCCTCTCAGCCTCTGTCTGCTCCTCTGCTTGTGTTCCTCCCTCTATCTCCCCCTCTCTGTCCCCTCTCTTTTTTAACATGGGTCCTTTCACCCCCTCAGTCCCTCCACTCTGTCATTCTGTCCCTTTCTTTTGGGTTTCCTCCCCACTCTCCCAGACCCCTGCTGCTGCCCAGACAAGCAGCACAAAGCAGGGTGAGGGCTCTCACACGCAGCCAGCCAATAGCAGAGTGGCAAAATCAAGCATGCAGCCAATGAGAAGCCTTGTAGGAGGTGTTTGTACCAATCGGGGGAGATTATCAGGAAAAAGTGGGCTGAACAGAAGGAATTAGGGGTAACGCTGTCTGAGAACACTTCCGTGTGGGACTGAGCTTGTCTGTTCATGCTGAACTTGAGTCAGCTGGATGAACTGCTGGTTGATTGGCGGGATTTAAAGAGAATATGATGCAAGTACACAGAGGAGATTAAATGTTAGCTTATTGAATTAAAGCAGGACATGTGATTCATTTGATGAAAGGCAAAATAGTATATTCTCCACATGCAAAAAAAAAAAATAGCCTACTAATTTAAATCATATTTTTTTTAATTGTTTTATGATTGGGTCTGGAGAGAGAAGATGAGAATTTGTGAAACAATGGACATTTTATAATATAGCGTGAACACAAAATATTACTAAAAATATTTTACAAAATGGAAGAAACATAGAAATACATCCAAATAAAGTTAAGTACCTGTTCTCGGGCAAAGCCTCTGTGAAGCATCTGACGACGACAGAAGAAATAGGCTAACTTCGACTATTGTTGAGAAAAAAACAAAACAAAAAAAAAACAAAGACTACTTAGTATGTTAAAACTTTCAAATTCTTGAGTAGTTATTGAACAGGCAAGTAAAAACAAGATTTGCACAACAAGAAGTTCCCGTTTGAAGGCTCTATTAAGTGACGTTTTTGAGGAGGAGCATGTTGGCACTATGGTGTGCGAAATCAGAAGGACTAAAATATGTTACTTAAATGTGCAGACATCTTTATATTTGATGCATGCAAGATCCATTTACCACTGTAATAAGTGTTGATTGTTTACCATGTTTATTTTTTTTGTCTGACCGAGACAGGAGACTGAAGACACAACCAGAGAGTAACAAACAGTCATCGAGGGCAGGAATCGTATTTGCAGTGAGTTGATCTGAAAATCATAAAGCTGTATGTTGAGTTCAGAACATCCTCGTGAAAATCCCATAAAAGCGTTTGTACAAATACCTGACAGTCGTCTTGTTTGGTCAGTGTAATCATCCTCATGTGGCTTTTGTCTTGGCTGTGAAACAGATATTTCATCATTATTTGAGTCCTATTTCTCTGTATAAATCAGAGCTGTAGTATGTTTTAAAACACTGATACATACGCCACCCTGGAGGCAGAGTCGCACTCTGTGGTGAGTTCAAAGTCATGAATGGCCAGATAGGGCCAACAGTGAATCATGACCAGGAAGTGAAGGTCCCAAAGACTCAGGGTATCCTTACGCAGAAGAAAAGATGACAAAAAAAGGCTCAAATACTTGTCTAGATGTGTATCACAGCTTTAAGCAAGAGCAGAGAACTCACCTCACTGTCAAGAACATACAGGAGATTTTCCACGTTCACCACCACCATCTTCCTCACTCCTTTAAAGCAAACATATTAAAGACAAAACATTGAACAATCACAGAATCTTTTCCAACAGGCCTTTTAACTTTGTGTAACTGTTTCACGTTGTGTTTCTATTAGTTATTCTCTCTTTTTTTATCCATTAGAAATCATAAAGTTTGTTAACAAAGCATTTTATTTATTGCACACAATGTAGCAATAAACAAGAAGACATTTAGGCTTTCGCACTTGCAGAAAACTCCTGAAAAACTCAGGATATTTCCAGGAGGAGCTGAATGTTTCTCCTGCTAGTATTTTTTCCGCAGCAAGTCCGAGTGAGCTGACGTGAGAACGCAGCAGGATATAATCTGGAGAATTCACCTCGAGCCAATGGAAGAGGGGCAAATATTCTTATTATAGCATCGTACAGCTGACTCTGTTACTCCGTCCGCTACTTCCGAGACGTTTTTTTTTCCCGTCATGCCTCTTTATACGCAAGGCACATCCTGTCCATGTAAACATGGCTCCAACAACAGTACAGCTGGTGCTTCTCACTCATTGTAGACAGTCATGACTCAAGAGACATTTACAGAGGATATACATGATTTCTACTGTATTTATGCTGTGTAAAATCTTGCACATTCTTCCTTTTTTAAAACTTGGTTTTACTTTCAGTTGGCATACTCATTAATCTGGCTTAAATGTGTTGATTTGAGGAATTTGTATACAGTATACAGTGTTTCCCCTACCATTATATACGCCCCCCCCAAAAAAAAAAAAGCAAAACAAATATTTATTTTTGGTCTTTTTGTACCTTTATTGTAGGGATAGGATAGTGGAAAGAGTCGGAAATCAGGGAAAGAAGTCATTTAAGGATACCTTTCCGATAGAAAAGGACATCTGTCAAGTAACACATGAACACCAAGATTCCTTCAAGTGTTTGTGTTGTCATGTCGCCGTGTCAGCATGTCGGCTTGTCCCCACCCCCCCAACGCTGTAAACCTAGGGGAAACACTGGTATATGATTTGTTTATCAGAGACAAACATTGTAAGAAGAAGAAGATATCCTTTATTAATCACTTGGGCTGAAATACACACACACAACATGTACTAATGAAGAGATGTTAGAATGAGGGCGTGCACATGAAAGAGTGCCCGAGCAGTCAGGGTTTCGGTGCCTTGCTCAAGCGCACCTTGGCAAGACTCAAGAAGTGAAACGGCACTTTTCCAGATTTCCAGACTAGATCCACACCGGTGACCCTCCGGTTCCCAACCAAAGTCCCTACAGACTGAGCTACTGTCGCCCTCGTCGTGGTAATCCTTGAACGAGCAAAAGTCTATCTTTATTTGAGACTGGAGCTGAGTATGTGGAGAGGTTGGATTAACATTCTGCTTATCAGAAAATAAAAACTAGCACTTACAGAAGAGGGTCTCAACTAAACTCTTTCAAAGATCCTACATCAATTTTTTCTACGGCTGCAATGACAAAAAGAGAAATTAAGAATAATATAAAAAGTTTACCTTCAGAACCCTCGTATTTCTGTGTGAGGAGATAGTGGTACGTTTTCTCGTCACCACTGGATGGTTTCTCTACCAAAGCCTAAAATAGAAGAACCCATCTTAATCTAAATGTGGATTCACCTTCCACAAGAGCTTGTTTGAGTAATAAAGTGCTGAGAGGTCTCTAACGCTGTCAGGTTTCAGAAAATTGTCTTCACAGTTTTATCAAAGAACAAAGGGATGTCAAATGAATAAAATCTTTTAAATAAAGGAATGCCTGAAAATAATAAATATTTAAAAAAAAAAACTGAACACCGTGAATTTAATTGCAGTTTTATCAGGCGCCTATACTTCACAAAAAATATGAAATAAGCACTCTGGTTTTATTCGTGCATAAAAAGCAATAATAGAGGAAAAGTAATCCTAACACCCTAAAAAATATGGGGTTGGAATAAGGCTCTGTTTTTTTAAAACCCTCTGAGCTTCAGTTTGGTTCATTATGAGGGTTTAAGTTTGACTTTCTTCAACATTAATCTGTTGCATTTTTAATCTCAGTCGTTTATTGAGTTTTGCCAAAGCTTTCTGTCTTTAATTTCAAAGTCACTGTTTTGTTCCCAAGTGGAATTTCTTTTGCAGTCAAGTATAAAACAAAATCCAGACATGAACGTCAGGCTTACATGATTCATAAACTGAATTTCCAAATAGTTAAGACATATTTAATCCTCATTGCGCTCACAGCAAAACATGAAACCTGTTTTACAGGGTGTGGTCACCCAAGGATAGTGGTGTTGTAGTCCAGACCACACAAACTGAGACCAAGACATCTGGAGGCCTGCAGAGTGCTCCGAGACCGAGACAAGACCAAGACATTTAGGCATCCAGACCAAGTCGAGTCCAAGACATTTAGGGATCCAGACCAAGTCGAGTCCAAGACATTTAGGGATCAAGTCCGAGACAAGACCAAGACATTTAGGTATCAAGACAGAGGCAAGACCAAGACCAAGATAAATCATTATCTGGGCAGTGGGCGTGTCCCTCACTTAGACCGTAACACTGGGAAGGTTGCGTCCGTAAAATCAAACTACAAATTGAATTCAAGTTATTTGTTCTTTTACAAAGAGACGTTTTTCCTATAATCACAAAATTAATGTGGAAAAATAACCTTTCAGTGGTGGTCTTGATTTAAAATCGGGAGTCTGCCCAGTCTGAGACAAGACCTCCAAAAAGTGCTCTCGATGCCGATTTCGAGTACTACAACACTAAATGATAGTTTAGTGGTTTGATTAACCCTTTCGTTCATAATCTAAGTATCATTTATAAATAAATTACATGTATCTAGTCATGGACTGCTCTGTGAATGGCTTCTGTCAGCTATTTTTGTCCTTTGCTGACTTGTCTTTGTCCTTTGCTGACTTCACCAGTGTCTTTATTTTGGCCTCTAATCACATTTGGGGTGCCGCAGATTGTGACATTCAGCGCAGGAGGACGCTGCGAGGCAAACACAGAGCAACATACGAGGTCAAGTCAAGAAAGTCAATTACATTAATTCAATCTGAAGCCTCTTCAAATTAGGATTAAAGTATTCCTGTACGTGTCCTTTCAGGCTGACTACAGGGAGAATAAGAACACAATGATGTCATACTGTTGTCCAGAAGATTTATTAAAACACGTTGAACAAATACACAGGATACAAATAAAAAGATGACGATTCACTTTTTTTCATTCAATTTGCTATACAGCACAAATATCAGAACCATAACACTGCTTGCCATTGTCTGTAAATGCTAGATACACTACATCGCCTCCTGGAAGTGGAGCGTCAAACCCAACGCTTCACATGCTGTGCATTCGCTGCAACAAAGGTGCCTTTAATCAGGGTCTTTTGGTAGCTTTTGAAGCCATGTTGATAAGCATGTACATACATTGTTAACATATTTATATTAGACTGAAGCCTTTTTTTTTTCTTCGTACAGACGTTACATTCATACCGACTTCAGTTTGATTGCATTATTTCAGAGTATTTTTGTTTTTGACGTTTTCCCTCCAGAAGGGAGAAGGTTTTTGATTGATGAGCACATACTGTACTGTGCACACTGCATTTCCATGGCAACACCATCCGGCAGACATTCATCTTGTTTTTTTTCTTCAGATTGATACATAAATCTGTTTGAGATGGACTTACAGTATCTGAAAAAAATCCTTCAAGTATTTACATGTTTCTGAGGTTCTATCTGTCGAGAAACCTAATACATGTCATGGTCAAGTAATCGATGGCGAAACAAAGAACATAACAGCACTGATCAACACTCAGAAAGAATTGTGCAAAAACTGGCATGAAGCTCTTTTTTCCTTATGGTGCGTTCAAATTCAGTCCGATTAAAATCAGCACATTAAATTTAGCTAAGGATTTGAAATGGAAAACAAGTAAGAAAATACACCCATGGACTCTGTACAATGCCACCTCTTCAGCTTAGATTTGTCCAGTCACAGTCTTCACATCCTGCTGCATTGGCACTAACAATAATAAAACAAGTAAATGCCACTGGTCTTTGGAAGAAAGGAGGAAAAAAAGACACGTGTCGTAGCAGTTTGCACCGTTAGTCCGAACATTCAAGCAAAGCCTTCATTGAAAAGGTAAGGTAGAAAGCTTGAATTGTAAAGATTGTTAGACTCAGTGGACAGTCACCTTTGAACATTAATAGAAGCAGATGGAATGGACACGATATGTAGCCTAGCGCAACGATGCTAACATGCCTTCACTTCAGGTACAGCAAGAGGTAACATACACTCTTTAAGAAACCCTAACATAAGTGGAAGCTGGGGCATTTTTAAAGTAATGCAGTTCAACGGTGGTCCTTAAACAGCAAGTATTATCAAAATCAAGTGAAGACTGCAACACAAACGATTCAACATTCTCACGGCGGCTATTTTCCTCTGTCGTTAAGCTAATGGTGGGGAGTAAAAATACTGCTGATGTCATACAGCTGTGTTCCAATTGTATTTACAATTCTGACCAATGGTTTACATTTCATAGTTTCCAGATTAATAAGCAACTTTTAATTAAATGTATAATTGAACTTAGGAGGGAAATTAGTCAATTTTCAAGCTATTCGAAACCATTTAGCCACAATTTAACATCAGCTAACATTAGCATTCAACCACCTCCTAGCTAACATTACCATTTGATATTGTTTCCTGAAACATTTTTTTTTTTAAATTCCAGTGTTTTATTTACTTCCAGGTTTTAATGACTCAGTCCATGATGTAGGTGGATATTTCAGAATTAATTTAAGCCTTTTAAATCGCATAATAAACATTGTTTTGTTAGCTAAGTAGTACTTCAATGCTAACTTTAGCTGCTTTTAATGGGAGCTAATGGGTTATCAAAAGTGTTACTTTTGTCTTTGATTGGTACTAAGTTCAAGATCTGTTCTACATGTAAAGCTATAAGACAGTGATTCTCAACTGGTGGGTCGCGAGCATGGGCCTGAAAAAAAACTTGGCCACAAACCGTTTGTCAAGCGCATTTTTAACCATGTTTGTTGTGTTCAGTTTCAGATGTTTTGCATCGTCTGAGCGACATGAAACATTTGACAGAAGCTGCAAACTGCAAAAACTGCAGATTTTTTTTTTCAATGAAATCTGATAGGTTGAAACATATCAGAAATGTGGGTCATGTTTTTTCAGGGTGGAGTTGGTGGTGGGTCCTGAGGCTAGACGAGTTGAGAACCACTTCTTTAAGAGATGAGCTTTGTTTGATTTTATCCTCTGTAATCTCAAATTGATGAAATATTCACTATTCATCGTCTCTCCTGTTGCTTATCAGTAGGGAAGCATCGAAATGGAAATTGTCAAACTCCCCACATTTCTACATTTTGAAAACTGAAACACAGCAGTTCACTTCTTTTTTCTCACTCATTTGAAGTCGTATATTTGTTATTTTTGCCATTAGTTAGACAGGACAGTGGATAGAGTTGGAAATCGAGAGAGAGAGAGAGAGGGAAATGAGATGTGGGTAAGTAGCCAAGGATTGGACTTGAACCCGGGCCGCCTGCTTGGAGGATTACAGCTTCCGTACATGAGGTGTGAAGCTACAGTAGGCCGTCAGCGCCCCAGCAGTTCACATTTTTAAGCATTTGTGGTTCCTGTTCTTGAGTGTGACGTCGGAGTAAAAACGGCCTCCGTGTGATTACGATGAATTACAGTCTGCACCTCAGTGAAGGAAACAGTGCATCAAAAGAATACATGGATTATCTTTTTAAAGTGGCACCAAGTAACCATAGAACGTCTTATTTTACCTTAACATAAAAAGAAGCTAACAAAAAGCTCATCTTGAGACTTAAAGTGAGACTGCGCCTGAAGCACGCGTGATCTTATTCAGTTTCTAACAATGACAGAGAGCTGGGAAAGTCCCTGGATGTAAGTAAGAGGAGAGAAAAAAAAGAAAAAGCTTCCACCCTCCACTCAGGAGTGTTTTCAGTTAGCCCCCGTCTGTGGATGTCGACCAGATGAGTTTCCTGTTTATAGTGCAGTCCCACTGGTCCTGGCCTGGGGGTTAAGCTCTACAGCCACTACTAACATTCAAATATAGTAAGAATCACAAATATCGTACCGTACACAGTAATACTCAGTCTTCTCTTGAGATGTGTTAAAAATCATTTCTGTAGCTTCTTTTTGACTTCGCTTGATCTTCATTTCCACTGATTTCTTCCATGTTTGTGTACATATTTCACTAAGATTAGACCTATGTGAGGTAAAATAAACAGCAGTCTCTGAGTATATACAGTACAAGAAGCCAACCCTCCCAGCCAGCATCTGGCAGTCAAAATGTGTCTGCGGGTGTAGCAGGACTCACTTTCTCCACTTTCACCAGCGGGTGGCAGTCTTTCGAGGATTCAGACAGACTGTGTGTCCAGCTACTGCATACATGATCATAGCTTCTGATGCTGTCAGATCAATAATTTATCCACTGGTTACTACATGAATGACAAGAATTCATTTAAAAATGACAATGTTGGCCCTCTGACTTTTCGGACTGTGACTAAAATTGTCCTTAAATCCGCTCCTTTCTCGTTGATGGGCACAGTCACAGTGTAGTGAAAAACGAAACAGGAGGCGCAGAGAACGAAACAAAAGTCGAAGCTGGCACCAACAAAACACACATTTGTAGATTAAAATGAGCCTCAATCATGAGCGTCAGACTCTCAAGTCATGCCAGCTTCCTTGAGTTTCACCTTGTTCTGCAGGGATGGAGGGGGAAGGGGGGGACAAAATCGTCTTTCATAAAATCAGCTTTCTCCTAATCCTCCGCTCCGCAGCATGAAAGCAAACATCTACTGAAATACTTCTACAGAGTCCTTGAAAGATAAAAGTGCAAGTGTTAAGATAGGTACATCTGCATTAATCAAAAAAGTTAATCATCTTATCCGCAGACAGAGAGCTCGAGTTAGAAGATTTAAAGTCGGAGGAAAAAAAGAGGAGGACATGGCGGAGGAGACGGCTTTCATTCACACAGACCCCATCCCCAAAGGGCGTCTGATCTCAGTGACACAGAGCTGATCTAATCTTCAATACAGATGACATCACTGGGTTTGCCTGACTTGAGGTCAGGCGTCGCCACGTCTCTCAAGGAGTCGAGTGACTTTTTATCCAGATGGCTTGTAGGGGGCGGAGGGCCGTTAGAGGAAACTGAGGAGGAAGGAGATGATAATTATTACTCATGACAAACATGTTTCACTTAGCACATTAAAGTGTAAAAATATGGGATTTAAAGTGTTTATTTAGTGTTACTTTCACACAGAATAAGCAAAAGCAACATCAGCATGTTATTAAAAAAAACAGAACTTAAAGTGAACATACCCAAAATGTCTGCAAACCCTCAGTGTGTGTGAAACTAAGGTAAGTACGATAGGTCAAAGTTGAATAAGGACGTCGGTCTGTCAGCTGTGATGGATGTTTACAAGAAAGGAGAGTAAGGGTAAGAATTCAAAATTCCTTGTTTTTTTGCTCTGTTACAAAAATGTTTTCGCTTACCTGCATGGGGGGCTTTAATGTATTTACATGTTGTGGTCTGAAGCCTCTTGTTGCTTTCCCTTTCTTAACTCTTCACAGGTCTGATCCTCGTGTGTGTGTGTGTGTGTGTGTGTGTGTGTGTGTGTGTGTGTGTGCGTGTGCGTGTGCGTGTGTGTGTGTGTGTGCGTGCGTGTGTGTGACAGCTACTCACAGGAATGACTTCCTGATACCTTTGCTCTGTCAAATATTTGGACACAGTAGGGCTGGGCGAGGGTCCCTGGTTAAAATGTTGAATGTTTTTTTTAAAGGTGCAAATGTTATCACCTATTGACTGAAGACTTTTCTATGATAAAGATAATTCAAATTGTTTGGGGAAACGGTCTCTTGTTTGTTCTTTTTGTGAGACCTTTATTGCTTTTCCTTGTTGTGTCAGTAACCCGACATGTGACATCCCGACATGTGCAATCCCGATATGTGACATCAAAAGACGCGACATCCCGACACCTGACGTCACTGGTCATTTGACATATCGGTTCAAAATGAACTGTACACTTCAGTTTCCCACTTTTTCCCCACTTATTTCACTGTCTAAAGTTTATTTTGAACCAATACGTCACATGTCATGTCACGGGGTGTCACATGTCTGCAACAACAAGGAAGCACTGTTGCTTTTTATCCTTTTTTCCTAAATTCCCTTTTCTTTGAAACTAATGAAAGTTCAGTTTCTCTTTCCTGCTGTTTTGTGCGGTTTTGTTCCTATTTTCCCTTCACAGAACATTTCCATTTTCTTCACCTGCAGCTCAAGAAATGCGTCGCACTTAGATGTGGGCATGGATCCCAGCAGGAGCTTCATGTGCAAGCAAAAACAGGAGACTTGATGGGGGTTTTATATGTATGAAAGGTTGTTAGAACTATCCAATGTGAACATGTGGACGCTTTTTCATCGGGTGCAAGCAAACTTGATGCCAATCTATTTAGACGTTTATTTTAACACCCAGCCCTGTGGGAAAGCTTCAGACATCAGTATGTAAACGTATTTAACATCTTTAAAGTATGGTATCCCTCACAGTTTGTTTGATTCAAATCAGTGTCTTTCTCTCCAGCCCAGAGGTTTAATGTCATCATGATACAACATATTTGTGTTGACATTGATTCTCACCGCTGACGTAGGGTCCCAGAGGCATCTGACTGTAGTTGACCATGGGCTGTCCACCCGGTCCTCTGAAGCCTCCTCCGAAGCTGCCGCTGTACATCTGAGAGCAGCCGAAGCCGCCCTGACTGAACGTCTGAGGAACAAAACACAAGAGAGAGAGAGCGATTAGAGATCCTGCTGCATGTTACTACTTCACACAGCTCCTCAAAAAAAGAAAAAGAAAACATGGTTTTACACAACATTTAGCAGGTTTTGAGAAGCTCTTTGAGGAGAGTGTTCTTCCTGTGGTTGGAAAGCGAGCAAATAAAAAGAAACAAAGGATTGAAGAAGTCAGATTGCAGGCTGTTTCCCTGGTTACCACAAGAGTTGGTATGGCAACCAAATAAATCACAGTCAGAGCACATTGAGCTGGCCCACCGCTTTGCTGGAATAATCTTTTTGTATTAACAGAGAATTAAACACACTGCACATTCAGCCTCGGTGAACGGGGAGTTTCAGGAGAACATGAAAGTGATGAGACAATGAAGCCTTTGTGAAATCCTTCGGGACTCAAATGTGGAGAGAAAAAGTGGAGTAAGTAAACAACTCACGGCAGATTTCAGTACACCTGGGTAAACTTCTCCATGGGGGATATTGGGAGCTTGAGTCTCTTTTTTAAAGGAGTAATGTGGTTGCTGAGTCGTGACTGCAGAATCCTTCAAAGTTTTTTGCACCGTGGCCTTTTTTAAAAACATTTTTTTTTTTTTTTTAACTTACTCAGGCCTGCAGCACATTTTAGTGTGGATTGTTTCCCCTCCATTACAGGCAACCGGCCTTGACTGCACTTTATAACCAGACACATCCAAACTATCAAGGAAAATGAGTCACAGATCTTTGTAAAACTAGTTTTCAGATAGCTCCAGTATTAGAGAAAAATAAAGTAAAGTAAATAAAACGCCTCCCTGAACCTCTTTCCCTCTATTTCCCCCCTTTACCTGCTGCGGCGGGGGCTCGTTCCCTCGGCTGGTGAGGCGGCTCAGGATGCTCCGCTCAGACATCTGCAGACGGGCCGACACCGGCGGGATCCTGGACAGCATGTTGGGCAGTCGAGTTACGTCAGCTTTCATGTCGCTCAGAAGCTCTTCCAGTTGATTCAGCACTGTAAGAGAACGAGAAAACACACATGATGGTGTGATACTCACAATTATATAAGAAATGTGGTTTATGAGACACTCATGAAGACAAAACGCAGGACAAGCGTGCAAACATTTTAAATCCATTCAAGACTGATAAGAGTAACCTGCGATGATTAAAAATGAGTAAATCAGATCACTCTCCTTTCTCCTATCGTACAAAACTTTTACATTTTACTAAAGTTTTTCATGGAGAAAGAACAACAAGAGTCAGATTTCATTTTGTTAATTAATTTTGTGTTCTGGGGCCTGAAATTAAACATGGCCTATAATTACTGCCATGAAAAATTAATTGACAGAAAAAATCAGTAAGATTCACAGACAACAACATTTAGTGATAAACAGTCATTGACCTTGGCCTCCTCTAAATCAATGTGTGTGTGTTTTACAGAGAGGGAAGTTAACTCTAAAGAGTCCCTGTTCCAAACAGGATGTTCACTCACTTCCTGTTAAATGATACAAAATAGAACAGGGTTTGGACACACTTTCTTTTTTTTTTTTTTTAAGATTTATTTTTGTACTTTTTGTGCCTAGGACGGTGGATGGTGTCGGGAATCAGGGAGAGAGAGAGAGTGGGGAATAACATGCAGGAAAAGAGCCACAGGTGGTATTCGAACCTGGGTCGCACTTACCACTGTGCCACCAGGCCCGGTTATTCCTGGATCAGTGCGAGTGCAGGCCAGTGGGCCAATGGGGAGGGGGGATATTCATGCTTAAGCTCAGTACAGGACAACTTTGCAGAGGGTGAGTGCACCTTTAACGGTGCAACAGCAACTTCTGTGTTGCAGATTTTTCACTGGTTAAAAATCTTATTCTCATAGTTTGACATACTGTATATAAAAAAAATATCCTTTTTGAGATTTTGATACTTCTAGGGGTTTCATCTTTGACTCTTGGATAAATGTTTCATGCACATCCTGATTTACATTAAAAAAAAAAACCTGACAACTCGTTTAAATGAGTAATATTTGCTTGTGTCATCTGTGAGTTATTTTCTCAGTTTCCCGCCGTTTTGGCAGTGAGACAGAAATAGTGACAATTACGCCTGTGTCTATATTTGAGAGACACAGACCTTTGTGCAGCACGGCGTTGGCAGGCTTGTTCCCGGCCAGAGACTCTTTGGACAGGTGCTGGTGGGACTCTGCCAGACATTCCACCTCAGTGAAGCGAGTGTTGAGAGCCATGGCCGGGTGACTCGGGTCCTGGGTCATGTTCAGGTATGCTGCCCGCCTCAACTGCTCCTCGATCACCAGAGCCTGCTCCAACAACTACAGAGCGAGAGAGAGCCAGAGAGAGAGAGAGGGGGGGGGGAACTTAGAAATGAGGATGTTACAGAAAGACACAATTTTAGATACAGTTTCATATGAAATCAGAGAGCACAAATGTTCCAATCCTTGAATAAGATTTAGGCTTGCCTTAAAACGACGAGCCAGGAACTTGTTCTTCATCTCCAGGTAGTTCCCCTTGTGCATCTCCGTCTTGAAGGGCTCATTGAGAATCGCATAACGGGGGTCGTTCTGAATGTCCTGCCAGCGAGCGTAGCCATGTCTGAGATCGATTCCCGGTCAAGGAAAAACAAACCGCAGCGCAGCACTTCATAAAATCCAGAAAGAAAGAACAGTAAAAGTTTGATTTCTCCCTTTACAGTTTGTTAATATCAGTCCTTCAACTGCAGCTCCCGCAGGTCACAAGCGATTCAAACACTTCTCCAGATGCTTAGCTCGCACATCTGGGAAAAGGATACGTTACAATGCCAGCCAACAGCCAGTAGTCATGGCGACGGTGCCAGATGTCATGCATCTTTCCAGACGACAGCGCCGCTCTCTCTTCGGTCTGCCACAGGGTGTGTAACTCTGAGTTTTAGAGGCAGAAATGTAAAAGTGATTCTCAAGATGTTCCCCGCTGATAACGAGGAGTGAGAGCGACTTGACGACACAAAACATCTTTCAGGACAAAACACAAGTTATTTCATTTAGGTCATGTTCGGTAAACAACTCTGGAGAACAAAAGTTGAGGAAGACGTGGGAGGTAAAGGTGCAGACAAGACAGATAAGACAAGAGTGATATTTGCAGTGTGTATTTGTAGCATGAAATGTCCAAATTTAGACTGAATCAACATAAGTTTAGGATCACCGGAGGGATTTGGTCAGTGCTGATGTTTGGGCTGGATTATTATTATACAGTATTCCTTAAATGGTCGAGTCGACTGATTGGTCAGTCTCAGCTCTTCCCAGCGTCCCTCTATACTGAACAGTTAGCTACCTCGATTTTAAACAGAGATTCCCACTTTGCACAAGGTCCCGACCAATAAGGTATTTTGGGGCCAATACCGATATCGATCTCAAGGAGAAAAAAAATCTGATCCCGATATATTGGCCGATATCGCAAAGATATTTCCTCTTGGCCAAAAAGTTGAACATGAATACACCGCAAAGACTACAGCCGTACATCCTGCGCATGCGTGAGAAGAAATAACTCTCCATGCCAGCAGGAGGCGGAAGCTCGTTGCTATGATACCAGAAGACCATTTTCACACCGCTGTTGGTCACCACTCGTCTTATATGTAGCCTCTGTACCTTCATTCCTACCTGTAAAACCTCCATCTGCAATATTAAACATAAACTTGGCTCTGTATCCATTTTTGTCCTCCTTCCTGCTCTCATCGATCTCATCCAGAGTGTCTTTGTCTCCGTTCAATCGACCTTCTATCGCCTCTTCACTCTTCACGTCGTCTGCAACAAAACCAGAGGAGACAGAATGATCGCTCACTTATAACAGACAACTACTATATTTACAAATCACAGGAAAAGCACATTTGTTTGACCCCATGTTTCCTGTGTAAGGATGTACTATACCTGGCTTATTTTCTTTGTCTTCAGTCTTTGCAGGAGGGGAATCATTGTCTGCTTTGTCTGAAGACTTCTCTGTTTCTTTGCAGGGCTCCACTGTTCATAAAAAAAAAAAAGAAAGACTCCATCAAATTTGGTCCAACAAACTTTGCAGAAAATATAAAGTTAGCATGCGGCCCCTGACCTTTAGGAGACGTCTGGCTGGATGACAGCTCTGTCTGTTTTGAAGCCGACTCTTTTTGGTTGGCAGATGGCTCTGTCTTTGTGTTGGGCGAATCAGTTCTGTCCCTCTCGTCTGCCGTTTTCTCCTCAGAGCTGGCCTTGCTCTCCTCACTGTCAGCTGCCTTCTCAGGTGCAGGTGCTGCGTCTGAGCTGGACGTCTGCTGAGGGAGGAACAGGGCGAAGGAGGAAAAGAGGGAGGAGAGAGAAGTTAAAAAAAAGGTGTCAAAGTTTGACAGGAGCCTCTTCTGGGATGATAAGAGGTTAGAGTGTGAATGAACCAGGAGAAGATGGACAAGATGATAACGGAGACTGAAGTAAAAGGAGGAGGATAAAAATTACTCACCTCCTGCTCTGAGAGTTTCTTGCCGTCCTGCTCTGTGGTTTCTTTGTCCTCTGATGAACCCAGCAGAGACTCAGTCTTCTCTAAAACCCAGAAAACAACAACAAAAGCTGAAACTTTATGAAAAAAAAAAAAAACTATGGAAAAGCATTCATTCTGTCTCACAGTTGGAGGATTTCATTCAGCGCAGACACTTTGTTTCTGACCTGGAGGGACAGGAGTGCCGGGCTGCGTGGCGACGGGGCTGGCCGGCACAGGAGTGTTTGGATCGGAGGACAAACTCTCGGTCAGCTTCTTCAGCTCCATGCCGATGGGAATCAGATCTGGGGAGCTCAGCTTTCCATTTACATGCTCAAACTCCTGCACCTGTTGAGAAAAAAAGGAGATGGATGTGCATGTTTTCTAAAACGTTATAACAATGTTTGAGTGTTTAAAGGAAGCAGGAGGAGATTTTTCTCCAGAAAAAAAGTATTCACATATGTAAAGGACAAGATCATCAAAAAGATGGAAGTAACATGTTCACTGTAATTCACTCAAAATCAGGAAAAAAGTGAAACTAGCTACAGAAACAACAACGACTTTGACAGGATTTTCGTTCAAATCCAGAATACAACTGGACGGAAACAGGGTAACAAGAAGCACTGTGAATGGAAACTGTAGCATACAACATCGTAGATCTACGTTTGGTCTATCAGCCTTCTCCATCAAAGGCTGTAAACTCTGGAACACATTACCACCTGAAATGAAATTAATCTCAGACTTAAAATCGTTTACAAAAAAGGTGAAATGCTGAAAGCAAGCCAGAGCTGTAACCACTTTTAAATAGTATTTTAAAACTGAATTTAAACTGGTTCATAGCATTTGTATTGTTGCACATGTATTTAAATGTATCCTCATATAGTGTTATGGGGTTTTATGTAACTGAATGTTGTACATTTTGAATCTGCTTGTTTACACAAAGGCCCAATTGGGGACACGAGTTGGAAATTAGCAATAGCTATATACTCTTTATGCAGCACATCAGTTTCATGCTTTGTATTGAAACTATGTTAAATTGCATTGTCCCTGTTAAATAAAAAATTCAAAAAACTTGTTCTTATTTCTTTATCTGGGTGTACATCGAGCTAAAAAGCTACCTGAGTTAAAGTTTTTTTTATGATATCTGAAGCAGGAGTGTACCCAAAGTGGTTTGACCTACTTTCTCTAATCTCACAGAGCTCCAGCAGAAAAAAACTGGATATATCCAGAGGTGAGAGTCTCTTCAGTTGAATTTATGGGAATACCTTTTTCCTGACGAGAGACATGACTCCGATCCTGGTGAGAACATGCTGACGAGACAGTCCTTCACGGGGGACTCCATCGGCAAAGGTTTCTGCTCCGTCTGCCCCCGGCTCACACAGGTGTCTCATGAACAGAGACACGTAGGCCCTGAAGACCAAACAAGCATTTGTAGAGACACACACACCAAAACGGAGCGTTCTGAGAGAGCTGGTTCATACAGGGTCACAAACCTCCTCTGGTGCTTGATTCATGTTATATTTTGACCAAAGCACAGCACAGATGTTTCATTTACACCACAGGGGGACTGTTTGAAAAGGTGGAAAAGGGTATGATATGTCCTCTTTAAATAACATAACTCTAAATGTAAGAACGTTACTTGACCATTACCTGAACTCGCGCTCACTCTTCCCTCTCAGGTCTCTGACCAGCCAGTGGGAGTTGAAGGCATCCTGAGGGGGCATCCCCCAGCGCATGATGGCATTGAGGAAGGCTTTCCTCTGACGAGCGTTGAAGCCCAGGACCTGACAGGCGAGAGGAAGAAACACAGTGAGACAGAAAATGATGAGGGATAAAATGACTTGACTTGAGCTTCTAGTCTTCTGACTACTCAAAGCGCTTTTACACCGCAGGTCACACCTACACATTCAGAGGCTGCTGTGAGTCCATCAGTATTAACTTATCCATTCACACACATTCATACACCACAGATGAAAGCAGAAGGGAGCATTTTGGGGTTAAGCATACCTATTTTTACATTTTACAAGCATACCTAAAATAATGCCAATGGGTGTAAACTTTGGATTTAAGATCAGAGGATGTTGTTGGAAGTACCTACAACATGTCATTCTTACCTCAATACTGCCTCCGACTCGTGCCAGTAGGGGCGGCAGAGGTTTGTCTTTTTCCCCCTTCAGCTGTCGACGTGAATGTCTGCGTCCACCTACAAGAGAGAAAAAGACAAAAAAAGAGGGTACGGTTAGAAACCTGAGCAGGACAATTTGTGTGAATTATCACTGCAGAGTGTGTACTACAAATAAAAGTTTAATCCCTTTTGATTTTCCATTAAACTTTTGCCCCTTACCTTCAGGCCTCTCCTCGAAATCTTCGTCCTCGTCCTCGGACCCCACAGAGTACTCCGACTGATTGTCTGAAAGATCATCCTGCCATTCTGAGCCACACATCAAAGAGAAACAGTACATTGCATTCTGTTTGGTGGCCACCTGAGGGCGCCATGGCACTGCAGATTACTACAGACCACTACTGCTGGGCATGCACATGCTTCCTGTACCTCTTGTCAAAGTGAGGTGAGAGTCAAATCACTTTAAACTTAGAGAGTGCTCTCAGCTGCGATGGGCTCTGAAATCTTTACGCTCTAATAGTCCAATACTGTTGAACTGTGACAGTCAGAGGGCACTATTTAAAGTACAACTAGAGGGTATATGTGACTGTTTGAAACCCACTGTGAAGACTTAAGGTTCAAGAGAGCTTCAGGACTGGGGAAACACTCTGTGGCAGATTTAATAGAGGTCAACAGCTCTGCTTGAATCTTGAAATTTGTCAGAATTGAATCAGCTTTGTGATGAATGTCTGGGCCTTTTCTGCTCAAAGTGATAGACTCAAATTAGTCTGTATTAAGATGATGTCAGCAGCAGCTCATGATGTCATGAGCTGATTGGGTGGGTTGTTAGACTGTTGTGGTGTAGTAGTAGTGGTTAAAGTGGACATAATATGAAAAGTCCACTTTCACAGTGTTTTTGAACATATATTTGGGTAACCTGAGTGTCTACAGACCCACAAAATGTGAAATAAACCCATCCAGTCCTTTGTTTGTGGTCTGCATAAGTCTTACAACACAGAGAAATATGCTCCGTTTCAAATTTGCTCTCCTTGTGATGTCACAGTGGGATTCTGGTAAAAGAAATCCCCTCCTCTCCCCTGGTATCTCCACCCATGGACTCCACCTCCAGCCTAGAGAAATCTTTTGGGCAGGTCCGCCATTTTTATTCTCACTAGGGAAGGAGTCTACCTGGAAAACTCAGGGGGGTCTCATTGCATTTAAAGAGACACACACACCAAAACGGAGCGTTCTGAGAGAGCTGGTTTCTACAGGGTCACAAACCTCCTCTGGTGCTTGATTCATGTTATATTTTGACCAAAGCACAGCACAGATGTTTCATTTTCGACCACAGGGGACTGTTTGTGTTTATTGTGAAGGGTCATATCGGGTTATATGCACAGCCCAAGCACAAAGTGTATGAGACTGGCCTGTGAAACACCTTTAATAAGCAATAATGAATAAACCGGCCCATTCGTTACATGAACAAGAACGTGTCTCTCGTGTTAGTTTCTCTGAATATCTACTTGCGTTACCTTCATGCTGCATGCCGTGCCAGACAGAACAAACAAAGTGTTAATCTTTAACATGATCTATGTATCGGTGATTGATTAGCTGATTTGTGTTTTATCCTAACAGGCATCAGCTCCAGAAATGCGACTCTAAACACAACAATTAGCATCGACCTCTGCAGTCATACAAACAGCAGGAAAATCATTTGGAGAAGAAAAGAAGCTGATTGGTTCAACTAACAGGGACTCTGAACAGGGCCCAAATGAGGGGGTTTCCCTTTTGTTGAGAAATACTAGCTGCTCGTGTTTAAATAAAGACAGGGATGCCAAATCATGACACCAAGAATTGAAAGAAGAAAGATGGTAGTTCCATCCAAATTGCAGACAATGAATCACTTTATATGATCATGTTAAAGGTTAACATTTCAGAAATGTGTCTTCAGATATTATATAAAAAAACAAAGGCGTGTGCTGACAGAGTCTACCTTGGTCCTCCTGGGTCGTGTCGTTGTAGTTGACCTGCTTCCTGATGCGTTTGCCTTTGCCCAGGTTGCGAGCGAGGTCCTCCTGCTGCTGCTCGTAGTGATGGCGGAGGAGTTTCTCCCAGTAGTCAGGATCCACATTCTCCTCCTGCTTGATGATCTCCCGCTCGACCTCCTCCTGCACAAAGACACACACACACACACACACACAGAGGTAAACAGAGATGTTTCTGACGACGAGACAAGAGTTAATTTGGAGGATGTTAAAAAATAGTTTGTGTCTAATTATCAAATGAAGATATTCTTTTAAATCCATGACACGTTTGTGAACAGTTGATGCTTAATCTGGGGTCCTCTCTCTACATTTTCCTAAACATAACAGAGAGCTCTCTCCCCCCGCCCCCTCCTCTCTAGAGTCGGTGCTGACGCAGGTTGCCATGTGGTGGACACTGAAGCTTCAGTGTTTAGCCAGCTCTGCATCAGTCTGTAAACCTTTCTGCGCTCTAACCTCTCTCCATTTTTTCAAAAGCATCTCCAATATTGATCCTAGTTTGAGCACGTTTCTGCTCGTGGAGCTTGTTAGAAACATGCAGAGGCTTTTTAGGTTGAGTACAATCACTTCTATCTGAACCAGTTCCCTTGCCCGCTTCCATCGCTACAAAAACCTGTTGGTTTGCCGTTTGCCTGGCAAACCAAGGGGCGCCGTGTGGGGATGCCTTATAACTGCCTACCCTCTCTGGTTCAAACAAATCCAGAGCATTCAGGACCAGAATCTAAAGTTAGAAGGAGGACATACTGGCTGCTGCATTGTTGTCAGAGAAGCCAGCACTTCAACATAGCATGTTTCCTTAATGTCTGATCATATATTAAGGTCACTTTATGATTTCATTCAGTAGATATCTTACTGATTGCTCATTTAATGATTATAAAAGAGCAGGATAACAATCATGAAAACAGCCGGCTGATGACCGTGTTTGTATCCTCACCTCCCCGTCCTCCTCCTTCACCACGTACTGAGCCACCTTGAAGGAGCTCAGGTACTCGTTCATGTTCTGGATCTCGGTGTCTTCTGTGGCGTCCTGGCTGCGGTCCAGCAGCTTCGAGATTGCATCGTCATCGTAATGAATCACATTCCCCTCCTCGCCCTCTTTGTTGTCACCTGGTTGATGAGAGGTACCTTTGCTGAGAGAGCCTGTCAAGCCGACAAAAAACTGTTAGCCAATGCCTATAGACCCACATTCAAAACACTGAAATCTACAGACAGTGTTTGGATAATTATATGGATTCAACGACTTTAAAAACACTCGACCTGTCACCATTGTACTTTATGAGTAACTGACTTTTGTTAAAATGTTGAACTTCAGGAGGATGTCGTGATATAAAAAGACAGTTCTTTAAAGAAGTAGCTACAAGTATTGGCCTGAATGCAGCACAAAAAGGCTTCCTTAAAGGCAGATGTAAACATAAAAATGTCTCAAGGAAGGTCTCGTTTTTTACGGCAGAAATGTTTGACAATGACGTAGCAGAGATTTATATGGAAGAATTAAGAGAGAGCTTGTGTGTGTGTGAACGTACCCATGGTTCGAGCGGCTTCTATTTCATCTTTGAAAAGCTCCTCGGTGCCAAACTTCAGGATATCGTCCAGTTCTTGTTTGGACATGGAGCCGGTTTTGGAGCCAAGACCGGGCCGCACGACCAGGTGGGTGAGCATCATCTTCCTCTTTGCCACCTGAGTGATTCGCTCCTCCACCGAGCCCCGGGTCACGAAGCGATAGATCATCACCTTCCTGTTTTGACCGATACGATGCGCTCTGCTGAAAGCCTGAGAGAAGAAAAAGGCGGGGACAGTTACAGGCAATCACGGCGCGACTAAACTCATGCAATCGTCTTGTGAAGGGCTCTAAAAAAAAAGTCCTCTACTTGGATGTCATTGTGAGGATTCCAGTCGGAGTCGTAGATGATGACAGTGTCTGCGCTCGCGAGGTTGATGCCGAGACCTCCCGCTCGTGTTGACAGCAGGAAGCAGAACTGCTGAGCGCCCGGTGCTGCGACACAAACCAGGTGAGAGTCATTTTGAGTGCATGCATCCACACAAACTCCCACAGATAGATTTTGGATTAACAAACTCACCGTTGAAGCGGTCGATGGCCTCCTGCCTCAAGCCTCCAGTAATCCCTCCATCAATACGCTCATATTTATAACCCTCGAACTCCAGGAAGTCCTCCAGCAGATCCAACATCTTTGTCATCTAAAAAAAACAAAAAAAAAACATGGTGTCTGTAGTCGAGTCAAACTAGTCTGCACTTGTGCTCAATTAATATCTGATACGATGTCTGGAATATTAAACGATCTTCCACCCACTGACTGACATCGACTCCTGGATGGTTCAGTTTTCAGATTTTCATAGCCAGCAATCAATCAAAGTTAGGCTTACAGCCCAGACTTCAAAACAATATATATATTCATCTGTTACCTGAGAGAAGATGAGAACTCTGTGTCCTTCGTCTTTGAGCTTCTTCAACATTTTCTGAAGCAGCGTCAGTTTCCCCGAGGACTTCACCAGCTGGTTACCATCGTACGAACCGTTTGGCAACACAGGAGCCTCCTGCACACACCCAAAAAAAAAAAAAAAAAAAAGCAATCAAATCCTGTGAGTGAAATCAAAAGCAAAGAACGACTACATTCTCAAGTTGGTATCTCGCTGATATCTTGTGTGGAGCAGCTTTGTTTTACAACCTTCAACAGGCACTTCTTCCGTCTATTAACCCTGACATGTATCTGTAGAAGGTTTTACCCGGTGTGATATTAAACTACGCTTCAGTTTGCTGCCTTACCACAGCAGCCACAGGGAACAGGTAGGGATGGTTGCAGCACTTCTTCAGGTCCATCATGATGTTCAGCAGGGACACTTGGTTCCCTCCACCTTTGGAGTTCAGAGCCTCAAAGTTTCGCGTCAGGATGAATTTGTAATATTTCCTGCAGGTAAAAAAAAAAAACTAGTTTGAATCTGGGAGAAAAATTTGGCAAATTTCTAATTTCAGTGTCACTTTTGGGAGCAGTGGTAGCTCAAGTGTGTCTGTTTCACAGTCCAGTGCTTACTTCTGCATCGGGCTGAGCTCCACTCTTACAATCAACTCGGTCTTTGCCGGCATGTTCTTGAAAACGTCAGCTTTCAGCCTCCTGAGCATGTGAGGGCCGAGCAGATCGTGAAGCTTCTTGATCTGGTCCTCCTTTGAGATATCGGCAAACTCCTCCAGGAAGCCTTCCAGGTTACTGCACAGACGAAGAAGAAGAAGAAGAAGAAAACGTTAATCGGTGAAGAAAGACTGCATGTTTAGCTCTGCAAGACGTGTCCATATTTCAGTCTTAGACGGGACTTGTTTGATTCGCTGGCTTTCAGATACGGGTAAGACGGAGAGAATAGAATTGGGAGCATGATACAGATTTATAAAAAGAGGAAGGACTTACTTGAAGCGCTCTGGGGTGAGGAAGTTAAGCAGGTGGAACAATTCCTCAAGGTTGTTCTGAAGAGGAGTCCCAGTGAGCAGCAGCTTGTAGTAGATCTTATACCCGTTCAGAATCCTAAAAAACTGGACAGGACACAATGTGCAATATCACATACCAGCCTTAAAAAGAAGCATGCAAAACATCATGAATACAAAGGATAAGGATATGTTTGTACTTGAACATTTCAGAGTCATATCTGCCTGCTCCTTTCCTGTCTTTGTGTCACATGATAACACCCATGCTGCCTCAGGAAACAAGCTGCATTCAGTGCCAGAAATGCATTTTTTATTTGTACTTTTTTACCTTTGACTGATTGTTCTTGAGTCTGTGGGCCTCGTCCACCACCAGGCAGGCCCATGTGATGGAGCCCAGAATGGCTTGATCAATCGTGATCAGCTCATAGGACGTCAGCAGGACGTGGAACTTGATGGGAGTATCTTTCTGTAAAGGGGGAAAAACAAAAATCATCCAAACACATATATATACATTATGTTGATTAATTAAGATTTGAGAAGGAGGAAACAGATATATCATATTTCTCATGTCCTGCAGTATTTATTCATGTGACATATGATCTCATAATGAACCTGCCTTTGTAACAGAAAAGTTTACTCGCCTTCATGCGGAACACTTTGCGTCCGCTCTTCACCGCGCTGTCTTCAAAGGTGAACTCGTTCTCCCTGATGATCGCCCGGCTGTCTTTGTCCCCGGTGTACGTCAGCACGTAGAAATCTGGAGCCCACATCTCAAACTCCCTCTCCCAGTTGATGATGGTGGAGAGCGGCGCACTCACCAGGAAAGGCCCCTTCGAGTGACCCTGACAGAGAAGGAGGAGGGAAGGCACATGACGAAGCGACTCTCACATCACAGGTGAAAGATAACTACTTACTACTCAGCAAAGTGTGGCATATTCTAAGAGTTTAAGAGAAGATGCTCATTCCCCCGCCCTCACCTCCTTATAGAGCGAGTAGAGGAAAACGATGGTCTGCACCGTCTTCCCCAGGCCCATCTCATCAGCCAGGATGGTGTCCGTGCCCTGCGCCCAGGAGAACCTCAACCAGTTCAGACCCTCCAGCTGGTATGGGTGCAACGTTCCCCCGGTGGCGTTGATGTACCACGGCTGGTGCTCGAACTTAATGGTTGGCTGTTGATATGAGAATACAGATTTAATGTGAGTCACATTAAACACATTTTGAATCATTTAGCAAATGGAGACTTTGCGGGAAGGGACATCTGAATTTATGTGAGGAAACGCCAACATCTTGACCGCATGGGACAACGACTAAACTCTGCTTTACTCAACCTTTCAGTACATATTATCTTGTTGATGCTACTGGTTGTATACAATGTACAGCATTTAGTGTCTTTTAAACATTTTATAGGGACTTTTCAACTTTTTATAGCTAACCTTTTTATATCTCAACTGATGGCTTATAATGTTTCTTCTGTGTTTGTAGTTGTGCTGAGTGGATACTAAAATGAAAGCCGCCATCTCACGGTAAGCAACCAAATTGCGCAGTTCTTTTAATGGTTACTGGTGTAGTGGACTGAAGTAGTTTATTAAACTCTGTAACTGAGTTGAGATTGATGGCGAACGTTTCATTACATCGGGACGCGATAATGTGCAGATGGAGTTGACTGCAGTTTTGAAACTTAAGTTCTCTCCGCTCTCAGGTTCATGATGATAACCCCTCCATGGGTTGAATTCCACCAGAGGGCACCATGGTGAGAATTTAAACTACTTTGTTTTATTAATCTCGACTTGGAGTCAGTGATGATGTTTAAGAGTAGTGGACAGAAGTGATTTCTGAGTAATTATACACTGAGACTTCTCTTTAGCACAACATTTGTATTGTCGTGTTCAGCACTGTACTAAAAGATGTTCGTCCACAGGGCCCCTGAGACTGAAGAGACACAAGTCGGCTAGTGTAGCTACCAAAGGTAAGGCCCTTGACTGTGAAAAGTAGACCATGCTTCTCTGTGGTGTCCTGTCTCTTGTTACCAGTACTGTGTTTCCACCGTAGACAATTTAAATGGCATGCTGTGTAAGATGTAGCATTTCTGTACCACAAAATTCAAGCCTGAAAAGTTGTGAACCAGTTCTGAACTGGTCTAGCCTAAGGGCGAATTGCTGAATGTGTAATTGTAACGCAAATGACTTGTATATTTTTTTTAAATCAAATTTGTTAAATGAGTGTTTTTCTGGACATTCAAAATTAGGTGGACATCAACAGTTTATTTGTCTGCATAGAAACACTCGGAGAAGCATTGGTCTACCTTAAGCCTGCACTAGTTTCTGTGCTGCTGTGATGACATTATTTGCTACTCTTGACCCAATGGATGACGATATTTTCAACCCACCAGTTGATTATCTGAGGCACAAACAACCTGTTTATTGTAAGCCTTAATTTTTTCTTTTACAACTGCTCATGCATGTTCTGTTTCCTCAGGTGTGCCAAGTTGGTGTCAGCTGCACAACATCTAGAAAAGGTGAGGTACCAAAACCTCATTCTTCACATTCTCCCAAAAGCAACTGTCAATGATGATTTTTGTTATGAAACATTGGGAATCTCTCTGAAAAAGAGTGAAAGAGTACTTTTTTCTGAGCAGTTCAGAGAGCACACATGTACTTGTATTAAATATGGGCCTCTATTAATGTTCTGTTTGTACTTGCAGATGATGCAGATTCACATTGCTGGAGACCCAGTTCTTGTAATTGGAGGATCAGTTAAAGGTGAGGTGATGTTCAGGCCTGGAATAAAGACTTTGCCCTCATATTGGCCTAATACAATGATGATTGCATAGTTCAGCAGATTAAAACATGAAGAATTGAGCATTGTCTTTCGCTCCTAGCTGATGTATTGGGTTCAATTACCAGTGAGTCGAGCTGATATCTGAAGTGGTTTTTAAAATGGCTTCTATGCATTTTCAGGGGTGTGTCCAACATCACTCAATGCCACATGAGGGTGAGTTGAAAGGCTTATTGGTAGAAATAATACTACACTTGATACAATGATGACTGCATAGTTCAGCAGATTAAAACATGAAGAATTGAGCATTGTCTTTCGCTCCTAGCTGATGTATCAATTGCAATAGTACTTAACCCATAAGTGTTTTGAAAAAATGAATTAAAATAGATTTCTTTGCTTCACAGATATGTAAAACCTAGCTGTTGGAAGATTCTCATTGCAATGTGTTGGTAAGTATCATTTAAGATTTGGACATTGTTCATGATCTTTCAGATGTGATGAGTTTGAATCAGGTCGCTGATCTAGTTGAGGAAACTTGATGCAGAATCTGATCTGGATCATACAGTTACTAACTTACTTTTTTGTTTTAAACATTACTTATAATATATCTCTATCTTTTCAGAGTCTGCAAATTCCCTTAATGGGATTGTGATGGTCATGCACAGGATGTCTCAAAGGCATGGTAAGAACGCAAATATGGCTATTGAATGCATTCTAGACTCTGATGACTGTGTAGCATGTACTTATTTTGTAGTAATGCTTACAAAATATAGATTAGTCTCTGGATTGCCTAGCTTCTGTAAACTTGCTCAGCTTTGCCTCTGAAGTTCCTCCTGTGCAATAAATTGTTATATTAAAGCTTTTAGTATCAATTTGTCTACAATTTCTGCATATAGAGTATGGATCTTAAAATCTTTTATCTCTGTAGACTGACCATGTGATGACATGTCATCCTCGAGTCCACACCACAAAACAAAACAAATTGGAGACACTTTGCATCCTTGATTGCTTACATACACAAAAAAGATATACACAGAATGATTCACATCCATATCTATAGAACTAAAAATGTGAAGAAAGAAAATTCACAGAGTACAATAGGTAGAAAATTGACTTTTCAATTTTGGGAAGAAAACTCAATTTTCACCTTTTTTTAAATGTAACATCTCTTAACTGTTTAAATTTAGTACAAAATGCTGCAGCCAGACTACCAACCAGGTCCTCCAAAAGGTCACATATCACTCCAATTCTGTTTTCTTATTTTTTTATTCAACCTGTACTTAATCCCTTTTTAAGATAGGACAGGAAATATTAGGAGGAGAGAGAGGGGGATGACGTACAGCAAAGGGCCGAGGTGGTGAAAGGTGCAAATGTAAATACAGTCATTTACTGTATTGTGTGTAATCTAAGTAATAATTCATATGAAAGAGTAAAAATAGTACATCCAATGCATCGAATCAAGGGAAATACAACCTTTGAGGAAGAGTGAAGGAAGTTCAGGAGTGCAAAAGTCAAAGACAGTTATTTAAATATAAAGTGTTTAACAAGCTGGCTTCCCTGATATTTCCAAATAATGAGTTCAATAATGTTGTGGGATAGTTGACAACAAACCTGTGGTCCCAGTAGGAAGCTTTATGACCGTCATATTCTGGGACGTCGAAGTCATCCACCTCCCAGGTGCACTGGTCGTACGGCAGGTCTCTCCACTTGATCAGGTAGTGCACATCTCCGTCTTTATCGAAACTGCAGGACAGAGGAAACCTTCAGGGAGGGCAGAGAGGCTTCATACTGAACATTCATTCATTGTGTTTTCAAGTTGTATTTTTTGAATGTGCCTGTGTTTTATCTGTGCTACGCCTGCCTGCAAAAAACTGCCTTTCATTGTTCTTATAGCAATGACAATAAGGATTAATTCTCTGCTAACTCGTTGACTTTGCTTATTGGGATATGTGACTACATTCATGTACTGTCAGACTCAGTCCCATTTCTAATCTCAGAACAGAGTTACGAGAGCTAGTGGTGAAATCTCCCCCAACTGTTTACCTGATGAAGGTCTAGTATGGAAACGTTGCCAATACATTTTTGTTTGCAAGTTAGACAGTGTGCGGGAGCTTACCTTTAAGTTTTTGATGGACACATTGCTCACCTACGCACCTGTCTTATGAAATGGATGTGTGAAGGTTTTTATATATTTTGAAATCTTCCCCTATGAAATGGGACGACCCTTCAAGACCCTGACGCATCATCAGTAGCTGCATTTACGAAAACAACCATGGTAGAATAGACATTCTGGGAGAGTTCTCATAACACTCAGTTTGGAGTGATCCTCTGAAGCATCTCTGTTTAAAGGACCTTGGAGCCCTAGCACTTTACCCTACGCCTCCGTTCCAACAAAGAATCAGGACACCCTTCCCCTGGAAGTAAACCTGCAAAATGTACTTTTAGGGCTAAGTGGTAGGTGCAAGGGGGACTGAGACTTAGAAAACTACTCACTTAGAGAATAAATCCTTTGACGTAACCTATTGTCATTCCTGTAAAAGCAGCTAAAAATCACTTCAACGACCCGTACACCTCCAGGACCCTGAGGCTGGGGGTGGAGTCTATGCGTGGAGATACCAGAGGAGAGGAGGGGCTCTGCTGTTTTTATATTTTCCTTTGCTTTATTGTTTGGCAGCAGAACACTAAGTCGAATTCCTTGTACATGTAAATGTACTTGACGATTCTGCTTCTGAAATGGAGTAACTTTTTAGTTCACTTTCAGATCCTTTGTCTGAAACACTTTTCAGGTTGTATAAGGGACAAAAAAAAAGGTTAGAAACATTTAGTGAACACTTCCTTGCTGTACTTTCAGGAGGAGAAAATGTGATTTGAAACATCCAGGGAACATACTCTTAAATGTGCTGCGCTGTGGGGAATAATCTGCGTGTATAAAGCGATAATACGGGGCAAGTAAAAGGCAAGATGACAGCCAGCACAAACCACACTGAGCGCCGGCTTACCATCAAGACTTTCAGCCTGAAAAGAAAAAAAAAAGAAAAAGAGCCCTGATGTGAGAATTAGTGTACGCGTGTGAGCAGCCACCTGTGGTTGACGATCCTGTGTATCACCATCCACTCTGGTTTGATGCCGTAGCGGTAGAAGCGCTCCTCCATCACGGCGTACTGGGGGTCTTTACTCTTCCTCTTCTCGTTGTTTAGCTCCTCCTCCCCGGAGCCGTAGTCGAACGGCGGCGGCTCGTCCATGTCGTTCTTCCTCTGGTAGTTCCGATACATGACGGTGTGATACAGCTCCAACTGTGCAGAAAAAAATCAATTCTCTGTGGTTTTTTTTTTGGTTTTTTTTTCAGTTTCATTCAGCACCACCTCTGGCTCTTTCTTACAACATCTCATCTCTCTGCGGTATATTGAGACAAATCGAATCAACTACTTCAAGATCCAGATTAGATTTAATGAAGAGGAGGAGGAGAGAAAATGAATTAGGAAAGCTGTCGTGGTTCTAAACAAGCAAATTGTTTAGACATCACCAAATTAAATGTCTGCTCGGTGTGAGGGCTCTGAATACTTATCGCTCATTAAACGTAGTTTGGCTTGTTTGACAAGTGCAACAGAGAGAACTGATATACACACGTTTCTTTAAAGGTCTAATGTTTTTGTTGAGGACCTACATTAAAGATACAATATGTAGATTCTGCCACCAGGGGGCTCTCAATCAACATTACAATAACAAAAGATGACATCGAGGCTAGCGGGGAATCATGGGAGTTCAAAAGAGTAGGACCATGAGCTGATCTTGAATTAATTTTGGGTACGGTAAGGAGACCGTTATTTGGAGATCTGAGGGACCTGTCTGGTGTGTAGCCATTCATACATTTAAAAACAATAAGAAGTATTTTCAAATCAATTCTTTACTTTATACTGGCCTCCAGTGAAGAGTGGTTAAAATGGGACTGGTGTGTTCAGACTTTTTGGTTTTTAGTTCAAACCCTGGCAGCAGCATACACACATGTTTTGTAACCCCACGTTCAGAGTCTGACTTTGACAGGAAACATCTGACTTTGGATAAGTTTCTGAGACGGTAGAATGCTATCTTGGAGATATTTGCTACATGCTTTTGAAAATTGAGATCTGCATCTGAAATCACACCGAGGTGTAAACATTGTCAGAAATTTTGAGCTATTGTACGTTTAACTCAAATATTTCCAACAGCTATCAAAGCTAGAGAAATCCTGAATTTTATAGTTGTATAGGGGCGTGTCTTGCGTGGTGACCACCATGACAGATACAACTTGTTTATTAGTTATGGAAACACCAAATGCCCAACAATCGCCGGGCAGATCGGGGACGTTAAGATTGGATCTTTGTACCGCTCACACTACAAAATAATCTGAGCAGATAATCGGGTCCGAGCAGCCTTGAGTCGGGAGCGACTGTGATTATCGGAAGGAAGAATCGGAGCTCAAATCGGCCCGATTATCCTGCAGTGTGAGCCAGGCTTTACTGTGGCTGTATGTGCTGCTTTTATAAATTGCATGTAAATTATACTCGAATACATTAGCCAGGTGGTAAACATATTCTCTTCCTCAGGTCGGTTTCGCCCGGTCGTCTTAACTACGGTCAACTTGGAGTTTGTTTTCTTCGAGGTTGGGGGTGGGGGGGGTGTAGCAGAGAGAAAGACTCCCATGATTCCATGTCAGCCTCGACGTCATCTTTTGTTATTGTTTTTGATTGACAGCCCCCTGGTGGCGGAATTTACACTACACACTGTGCATTTAGGACTGGAGGCTAAAAAGCTAAAGAAACATTATCATTTCATATTCAAATCCCAAAGAGTTTGTTCCAGTGGTCAAAGAAATCGCATCCTAAAAACTGTTTATATTGTTTAGATCTTCACCTTTACATTTCTGTGTTAAATGTCACCTTAATGCAATGATTTGCAAAACAAATAAACCCCATATTTAAATGATCTGACCTGCAGCTCGCTGACCCAGGAGCAGTGCCAGTAGGAAAGGCCGGCCCACTTAACAAAGAATTCCCTCTCTGGGTGGCCTTTGAGCGGAGGCTTGGTCAGCGGATCATTGGGCTTCCCGTCAGGACCTGCGGGCAGCTCAGCCGGCAGCGGGGGCTCTCCCCAAGTCCAGTGCAGGATCTTCTGGACTTTACCTTTGAGAGGGGGACACTGAGAAAAAAGAAAGAAACACAAAGAGAGAGAGGTGATGTGATAAATGTGTACACAGCATTACTGCATTAAAAAGTAAGTTGGGGGTTCAGAGCAAGACAAAAGCATTAAATATGGTTGTCTCCACTTCATTAACAGCCACCCACAGAGTCTCACTTCAGTTAAATGCAGAGGGTAATTAGCACATTAACAGGCTGATTGCTTTGCTTAAACAGCAGGCGAGAAACGTCTGTGACCGACTGTGCAGACCGAAAGAAAGCAAAAAAAAGACCCACGGTTAAATGTCACCACCTCACAGATTATCAGAGGAGATGTAGCCCTGGGCATCATGAAAATAATCAGAGGAGAAGATCTTCCTTTTTTCATTTTCAGAATGAAATCAAAACGTCAAAATAATCCTCGGATTTCTTTGTGCTTATCCCGGGCAGTAAAGCAGAATAATTGACTTTATTACCGATAGTTTATTCTATTCTCGACAAGCAAAACATGGACAAACATCCTGCTCTGGTTTCCTTCGTCTTAACAGAGAGCTCAACTTTAATATTGAAATCCCCCCAAAAAAAAAAATGTCCTCATCTAATTTTCCCTTATCTGGCACATATACTGGAAGTTTGACTTTTATTCTCTCGCTTTAAAATCTGACATTAAAATACAAAACAAACATAAAAGCAAACAGCTTATGGCTCGACCTTATGTTCTTCTGTACAAACCAGCTCACATTTGAAATTGAGACTTCACATTTAAAACATCAACTTGATACCAGCCCATGGTTTAACCCCGCCTCTCGCCCAATGACAGCTGGGATCGGCTCCAGCCCCCCGCAAGCCCGAACCGGAACAGGAGGTATAGATAAAGGATGGAAATGATGATGGATGGAAATACGGATATACAAAAATACGAAGATAATGTGCAAAAAGACTCAGCAACAATGAAGAAGCGCAAGTGTATTTTCAAAGTCCTCTGACTGACAGATGTGTCAGATGCTTCTGTTTTGCTGATGAGGGGAGGACAGTGTAAATGATAAAGGGACGTCAGTGTCCGGTGCTTATTTTCCTGGTGAGGGGGGGGGGCAGAGAGACGGAGAGAGAACCAGACTCATGATGAACAGCCACCTGCTGAGACTGTGCTGGGCTTAGAGAGTGGGATAGAGGGAGGTGAAGAAAGACAAGATGGATTGAGACAAACAGAGCAACAACAACAACAACAATGAAAATCTAAATAAAGGGAGCTTTAAAATCAGCTGACGTTTACCCTCAGAGTGTAATGTGGAAAGGAGTGAATGTGACTCTTTTAATCTCTTACATATATTTTAAAAACACCAGAAAAGATTGAACAAAGTTTGACTGAACGTTTCCTGACAGGCGCGCTCACCATGCAGCGTGGACACAACCACTCCCCGTTGGGTATCTCAGGTAGGGGCGGGTTCAGGCAGTGGATGTGGTATGAGGACGGGCAGGTGTCACAACACAGCAGCTCTCCTCCGTCTTTACACACTCTGCAGAACTCCATGTGGTCGTCCTCTTCCTCGCCTGCTGGCTCCTCCTCCTCCTCCTCCTCGTCTTTGGCCTCCCACTGGATTCCCTCCTTCTCCTGAGGGGCAACAAGACACGGGGGCTTTTAACCTTTAACCCTTAATAATAACACAGAGGATCATCTGCAGCAGAGGCCTGTACTCGTCGTGAGCTCATACAGCACTTTGGTCAAATGTGCTGTATAAAAAAACTTTGACTTAAATATCAAGACTGTAAATATCTGTGACCAGTGTGAGGCGCCAAGTAGGCAAGAGGATATGTCTTGTGCCCCATGTACGGAGGCCTCGTCGCAGGAGCCGCTGGTTTGAATCCAACCTTGGCACCTTTGCTGCATCATCTCCCACTCTCTCCTCTCAACATTTCCTGTTCAGCTGACCTATCTAATAAAGGCAAGAAGCCCCCAAAAATTACTTTAAAAAGAATAGCGACCTCCATGACGAGGACTGTAACCTCTGGGCGCCTTCTCTGCCGACTGACCTCAATGCCTGCACCCCAACTACATCCAAGAATTTAAAAAATATCATTTAATCAATATATTATATATTCAGATATCAATCTGATCTGCTTACACAGTGTGGACAGCTCCATTTGCCCTCGGGGCCTTCTCCAGCTCGGGGTCCAGACACACCAGGTGGTACGCTCTGGGACAGGTGTCACACAGGATGATCTCCCCGCCCTGCTGGCACACCTCACAGTAGTCCTGATGGTCCGTCTCATAGCCGTCACCGTCTTCCTCTGGAGGAGGCAACAGGAGGTAAACGTGGTGGTGAATTCCCACATGAAGGAGTTCAATTGAACGCAACACTGTACGACTTAAAGTGTAGACACAGTACAATGGGAGAGGGCTTTACATGTGAATGAGATTCTGTGTGTGACAGGGCAATAACTGCTGAGATCAAGCATCTGCCTCCGGGAAACATCCCCAAAAACAAATACAATTCTACATTTTAATTTCCTCGTTAGCCACAATCAAACAGCCCCGTGTCTGAGGGCTTTCAGAGGGATTTGGGAGGGAAAACAAAACACAGACAGTAAACATACTTTTCCTTTTTTTCCGCCCACGTCGGGCCTTTTTCTTGGTGGCGGCCCCCGAGGTATCAGAAAGCACAGAGGCACTGTGGATGCTGATGTCATCAAAGTCCGACTCCTCCAGGAAGTCCTCCTCACTCTAGAAAAAAAAAAACACAAACAGAAGCGTGAGAGCTCAGAGAGGTACGCAAAGAATACTAGATAAACCTTTCAAAATACGAGTGGTAAACAGTCTGGTCACTTTGATGCTGATCAAAAACAGTGCAGTGGAAAAACTCAGAGGGGGGCGTGGACATACCGAGGAGGCTTTCTTCTTCTTCCCACTTTGGCCCGACTTCGATTTGGTCTTCTTGGGCTTCGGTTTCTTCTTCACCTCCTTCACAGACTTGCTTCGCTTCCTGACTCCTGGCCCTGAGACAAACAACAACAGAAGGTTTAGACGTTTAGACAGCCTTTAAACCGTGCAGTGGAATGACTTTGATTCAATAAAACCTTTGGATTTAACTTGAATCTTAGGACACAGTAACCTAGAAAAAACATCACAAAGATGTAATTTCATACACTGCAAAAGAAACAAACAAAAAAACTTTACAGACAAGTGTGAATCCCTTTTACCCTAAAATAAAATGACCCTAGATAAAAACGAATATGAAAATGTATGAAACATCAAGAAAAAGGACTAATCTAGAGGGCAGTGTTTGTTTTGAATGATGTGAAATAATGATAAAAAGTTTCATCTTCAAAGGTAAAATCACATCAAAGTATTCACCTCAACCTAAAGTCTGTTTAAGAGAGCCTAAGTTGGCTCTCTTGAACAGACTTTAGGTTGTCATGAGGGACGGTTTAAACCACCGTGTGTGTGTATATATTTGACTGTAACGTTGTCATTTTATTACAATTACATGATAAAGGGGAGCGCTGATAGCCTAGCGGTTATGTCGCGTGCCCTATGTACAGAGGCTGTAGTCCTTGTTGCAGCGGCTGTCGGTTTGAATATGACCTCGGCCCTTTGCTGCACTTGGTCCCCTACTCTCTCCTCTCAACATTTCCTGTCTCTATTCAATTAAGGTAAAAATGGCCCAAAAAAGAACTTTAAAAAAAAATGATATGATCAAAAATATCTGTAAGTAGCAATACCTCGAATGACAGTGGCTGCTGTATTTACTGCATGCACTGAAGGCACATTATAACTTTAGTTTTTGCGCCTCTTTTGTGTACTCTTTAAGGCTGCTGCATTACCTGTCCTAAAAGAAAAATCTCTTAATTATTTGATGTTATTGTGGCATGTAAAGATTAATGATTGAGCGTGCATAATAACTGATTTGAGTTAAATAACTCCAGTAGTTGAAGTGTTAAAAGAGCTCTGTTACTTCTATAAATATGTCTTCTGTCCCGGTTGAGCACCTCTTACCCTTCCCCTCTTTGGTTTTGGCTTTTTTGATCGGCCCCGGCTGAGAGCTCGGCTGGCTGCTGCTGACAGTCGTCGGCTGTGCCACGGTAACGGTTTCCACGGCGGCAGCCACAGCAGCGGCCACAGCGGTGGCAGATGCGCCTTTGAACGGGTTGTTGGCGCTGAACTCTCGCCACTTGGCCCCTAACACTGTCATCATCTTTGACATGGGGATCTTGGGGTTCTTCTTGGCGATGAGAGGCCTGAAAAACAACATCGGCAGCTTTATTATGTCACAACTCATTCCTGCTCATGGTATTTCTGCTCAGCGCTGCAGGAGAGCTGAATGTTGATTTGCTGACAGCCCTCTGCCCCTTAAGTTTCCCCTCTGCCTGCTTGGCTGTTTGTACGTCATGTTTGTGATTTGTCAGGCAGCAGCTTGAGGTCTGGCACGCTGGCCTGTGAAAGATACTGGGTCAGAGCAGCGAGTCCCCGAGTCTCCCGGCTGTCACAGGCATCCAGGAATCAGCTGACGACTCGCAGGGGAGACTCGCTGCGGGAGCTCATGCTCCACTTTGTCGAAGAGGAGGCTTAGTCGAGCCCAGACGGCCCCAGGTGAGACAGACTCTTTAAACCAACAGCAGAGCTCTCCAGCTCAAACAAAGAGAGAAGTGTTTGCTCCTCACAGCACACTCTGGTGTCTCCGTCTCACAGTTTTGTCGGTGAGGGTCTGTGACAGTCCGCAGACACAGAAACAGAATAGAAATGGTGGCAGATGATCTATATTTAAAGATTATGGATATAAAAGCAGAATCTGTGGGCTTGGAACAGCATTTTGTCCAAGAAGCATCGTCCATGAGAGTTTAATGGGCATTTGCTGTACAGACTGCGTGGAAATCAAAATTGGAATCCAAACACATCTGGCTTTATGCAATCCTGTATCCCATCAGTAGTCAACTAACAACAGTTAGCTTCAAAGAGGACATATTATCCTCCTTTTCCACCTTTTCAAACAGTCCCCTGTGGTCTAAATGAAACATCTGTGCTGTGCTTTGGTCAAAATATAACATGAATCAAGCACCAGAGGAGGTTTGTGACCCTGCATAAACCCGCTCTCTCAGAACGCTCTGTTTTGGTGTGTGTGTCTCTTTAAATGCAATGAGCCCCCCCTGAGTTTTCCCGGTAGACATCACTCCTCTGTAGCGGGAATAAAAATGGCAGACCTGCGCAAAAAGTTTTGTTCTAGGCTGGGGGTGGAGTCAACGGGTGGAGATACCAGGGGAGGGGAGGGGAGGGAATTTGTTTTTACCAGAATCCCACTGTGATGTCACAAGGAGAGCACATTTGAAACGGAGCATTTTTCTCTGTGTTGTAAGACTTATGCAGACCACAGACAAAGGACTGGATGGATTTATTTCACATTTTGTGGGTCAGTAGACACTCAGGTTACCCAAATAAATGTTCAAAAACACTGTAGAAGTGGATTTCTCATAATATGTCCCCTTTAATTATGAACAGAAACCTGCATGTAAGTGCAGCTAAGAATCCCCACTAAAATGTCACACCTCAACACCAACTCCATTCTAGCTTCTCAATTTGCTGGTTGGACTAAAACGAAGGCAACACACAGGAAAGAAAGTGTTGAACAAAAGTTAACTGCTGGATAAACCAGAAGAAGCTAATGGGTTTAGAGACTGTTAAGCAGAGAGTGATAATACAGACACAGCATGAGACTCTCACCTGAGGAACTGGCTGAAAGCTTTGTAGTTGGTGATGGTTTTATAGTCGTCCTCGGTGAAGCCATACTGAACATCCTCCAGGCCCCACTCCTGCATTAGCTGACCTGATGATTTAGGTTCCTGGAGAAATACAGACACATGTCAGGAGACCAAAATTAGATTATATCGGCAATACATTTCACTTATTTATACCAGCGCTTTGACAATGTTTTGTAGGGAGACAACACAATTTAAAGCCCTCCACTGTGGAAAAACAGTTTTTCCTCTCTTTTGACTGATATTTGAGCTTCAGTGCACAAAGTGGTTTATGTACAGTGTGACAATAGAGAGCTGTTTTCTATTCAAAAGTATAAAGCTGTGTCTGGTACCTCATACTTTTATACAATTCAGAAATATGACATCACATTGAGTATGTAGTATGATCCGGAATCACAGTATGCCATTTTGAGTATGTGATAAAAACCAGGAAGTCTACTAGACCAGCCAGAATTTTTATGGATGAAATGGGAGCACGCTGGTCATACCAAACCGCCCCACAATGCACTGCAGCTTCCAGACCGTCCAATCGCAGAGCTCGCCAGCCAGCTAATTAGCGGCTTAAAATACAATTTCCATGCTGAAATATTTTATACATGCTGCCAAATAATATTCAAATGAACGTTTGCATATCGTTGTTTAATTATATTTACATACGACGCTTGCACTAGCTTGATGCAAGCTCATTAGACGGAGCTCTTACCGGAAGTACGTCCCGTTACCTGTATTTTAGCATGTTGCTAACGGCTAATGGTCGGGTAAGTATGCAGAATGTATCTTTTGAGAATGTTTTAGGCAGTATGAAGTATGGCTTCGGACACGGCATAAGAAATTAAAAATCGATTCATATTTATTCCATATTTTGCCTATGAAGAATGAATTTAAATCAAAAAATGAAGATGAAATGTTGAGAAAGAAAGTGAGATGCCAACCATCCCAACTTAGCCGGGATATCCTGTATTTCGATCTACATTGGTTTGTCCCAATCGTGTTAGGGTTGTCCTGTATAATCACTGGACGACACTTACTATACTGATCCTTAATCAGATCTGATACAGCCAGTAACCCATCATGCACTGCTCACATCGTTCCAGTGACAAGTCATTCAATCACAGCCCTTCTCACGTTCATCTGATATTCCTACAGCAACAAAAGCGCTTAATACCACTGGTTTAAGTTTTGTTCATGGATGAGGTTGTTCAGTTGGCTTGTTGCTCACAAGCTAGCAAATCACAAGCTGGACAGTGGGTGGGAAAAGGTTAATTACATACAAATTAATGATATCATGAGTCATGAATTGGATCACGCGTGATATTTCATGTCCAATCTGCACAGCTGATTCCAATTTTAAAAACTCCATTTTTTTTTTGATTCTTCATGTTTTGCCGTCTGTGTTTCTGTCAAATAGCCTCAGTGTGATTGGAAAGCTCTTTAAAGAGGACATATTATCTCCCTTCTCCAACTTTTCAAACAGTACCCTGTGGTGTAAATGAAACATCTGTGCTGTGCTTTGGTCAAAATATAACATGAATCAAGCACCAGAGGAGGTTTGTGACCCTGTGTAAACCAGCTCTCTCAGAACGCTCCGTTTGGTGTGTGTGTCTCTTTAAATGCAATGAGCCCCCCCTGAGTTTTCCCAGTAGACATCACTCCTCTGTAGCAAGAATAAAAATGGCGGACCTGCGCAAAAGTTTTGTTCTAGGCTGGAGGTGGAGTCCATTGGTGGAGATATCAGGGGAAGGGAGGGGATTTATTTTACCAGAATCCCACTGTGACATCACAAGGAGAGCAAATTTGAAACGGAGCATTTTTTTAAACGGACTGGATGGGTTTATTTCACATTTTGTGGGTTGATAGACACTCAGATATATGTTCAAAAACACTGTCAAAGTGGATTTTGAATATGTCCCCTTTAAATCCAAAGCATTAGATTGTAATCATATAAAGAGGCCTTACTTTCATGTTCCCATCATCATCCTCGTCCTCATCCTCGTCCTCATCCCTCTTCTTCTTCCTGGGCTTCTTCTCTTTCTTCTCCTTGGGTTTCTTCTTCTTCTTCTTGGTCGGGCCATACGCCGTGCTGCTCTCGCTCTCTGAGTTTATTTCAGGACGTTCCCGTTCCTCCTCGACCTCTGAGGTCTCCTCCAGGTCGCTGTCCACTCTTGCCTGGATTCCTCCCTAAGACATTAGACAAGGACACAAGAGCCATCCCATTTATTAGGGAAATAAACACACAATAAAAGCAGGAAATAGCATATTGCAGTTTCACTGTGGTTTCTCATTTTTTTGCCCATTATTTTTTTCCAAGTTATATTTTGGGGCCTTTTTGTCCTTTTTTGGATAGGACAGCTGAAGACAGACAGGAGATATTGGGAGGAGAGAGTGAGGAATGAAATGAAATGCAGCAAAGGAACGATGTTGGAATCAAACACACAGACGCTGAGACAAGGACTAGAGCCTCTGTACAAAGGGCGCAAGACATAACCCCTAGGAAAAACGGCGCCCTGGGGCTTCATCCATGTTTATTTACAGTCTTTGATCAAAACAGTGAAACTTCCAAAAGCTTTGAGGTATAAAAGCTGTGACCTTTGTCAAACAACAACTGAAGACATGCTAATTGAATAATTCCCTGAACAGACTTTCAGCCTTCATTTGCTTTAATCTCTTTCACATGTTTTATTGTGTTTTTTTTCCTTTATTGTAATATTTGACATGTTTTTTGTGCTTTATATATTCTTAGAGAGTGCATGGTTTTATCATGCAGTGTTTGTACTTGCATTTTAATTTAGCCTGAATTGACTTAGAATTTTCTAAGCCCCGCCCCTCCCCCTCCATGACTTTACTGTGACTGATTAGGCTAAAAAAGGGTTCCTGGATCAGCACAGATCTAAAGGATGTTTACCATCAACGCAATTAAGAAAATGTATCTGCAGGTAAAAGGTTTCATCTGGATCTAAATCTAGAATTTAGCAATTAAAGGTGGGCTGATTAAAAAATACATATAAATTGTAGAGCTTAACGAGGCACATTTACTTTACCTGAGTTGGGGATTAAAGCTCCCTCAGAGGCCACCTACACTTTACATGAAACGCTGTCAGTGAACTGTGAAGCACTGTGGATAAAAAGCTTCTTCTTGAAGGTATTTGCATAAATTAAATTACATCACTCCAAAGTGTCTCTGCTTTGCTAACTGCATAATTCGTCTGCCTGTGATGTAAATTATAAATGATTTCATTACAAGGCAGCAGTAAGCTGCGAGTTGATGAGGAGTCGGTTCATCTTTAACGTAAAAAAAAACAAAAACTAAGAGACATGTTGTGTGAGGCGGAGTCAGCGCTCCGATCTGAATCCTGCCTGTTTAAAAGGAGACATCTGGACGGCTGCATGGGCTTAACAGTTAACAGGTGTTGTTTGTGTGATCGAGAGAGTGACATGTGAGCTAATTCACTGGTGCATGCTCGTGGACGTGTGTGAATGACTAAGAAAGAAGGAGAGGGAAAGTATCTGCTCTTTCTTGCTGTGTGCATCTAATTATTCCGTTCTTGTGTGTGCGTAGACGCTGCAGTTAGTGTGCATGTTTTTGTGTATTTTTGTTCACATTTAAGCCGTCTCTCCAACAAATTACCTTTGCCCGGGGGAAAAAAGACTCTTAAGTACTCAATTTGTTTCCGCTGCAGGAACCAGGGTCAAGATAAAGTCCCAGAAACTTTATTTTGTCTCCCAGAAGCTCTCTGCTCCAGGAGTAGTAGTGTCTGAAAGTACAGGAACTTTAGGGGTGGGGTTTGTGGCGAGGAGCCTTTGTGATTGGCCAAGAACTCGCAGAAACCAGAAGACACACAGAGAGGCAAACTGTTTAACTGTCTGGATATCAGACTGTATGAAAAGATGGATGAGGTAATGGTTCCCCCAAAAAAGTGAAGAATAAATGCTTTCAATGCCCCCTGGTGGCTAGCTGCAGTATAGGCCATAAGCTCCGCCTCCTTCATGTAAACAGATGGAACATGGGTAAAACTATAAAATCAAAATACACCTAAAATTATTAATTCCCATACATGGTTTCTGTTATTAAAGTCAGTATTTATTATGCTGAATAATTTCTAAACATTTAATTTCCTTTCAAGTTAATTTTGAATTACTTTTTTCTATTTCAAAAAGGGGGTTTCAAAAAATATAGACATGGACCTAGTCTCAGTGATGTCACCCATTGGTTTCTGAAGTCGACTTTTGAAGCCCACTGCTGGCAGTCGCCATATTTCAAATGCTTAAAGTAAAATAATTTTGTAGTAACATTCAAAGAGACTCAGGACACACATCGTGCTCGCCCGTCAGGCAGAGCAGCCACGCCCCTTATTATGAATAACTCTTATCCTTCTTAAAATCAAAACATTAAGAAATTAAAACAAAGTACAGAACATTATGTGCCAATCAAAAAAAACATATTTTAAACCATGCTGTAAACAAGTTTATTTCTTCAGTAAAATAAGGGGCTTTTTTGAATGACTGTATTTGGGGCTTTTTCAGCCAGCCCCAAGTGGACAATTGAGGAACTGCAGTTGTTTTGTTTGGCCTTTTCTTTCAAGATCTGAGGTTTCTACTTGGGTTTAACTCTTTCCCTGTTCCGCCTCTGTTTTACAAATGGGCTGCACACAGAACTGCAGGCGACGATTTCTTTAACAGAGTTGTTGATCGTGGTGTTATACTCCTATAGCATCAATTAACTTATGAAAAATGAACACAATAAATCAGCATTCTATAAGAACTATCGATAACAGAAATCATGTTGAGTAAAACAATTATTTGTCATCTTTTTATTTTAAAAGACATGTTTTACTGTTAACATGGAGGCGGGGCTTGTGAATGATACTACAACCGGTCAGTGGGGGAAGCTCCAAATCTTTCAGCTTCACTTTTAGGGAGCTGCCATGTCATCCATCTTTTTATCCAATCAGTGCATCATAACAGTGTTTGATGAGTGTGACGGCAGAGGAAAATGGCTGCAGTATGATTATGTTGAATGCAGTTTGTTGATAAAAAGAAAAAGTTCCTTGAACTAAAAGTCCAGGGTACTTTTGTTAATCTGGAAAATTGTTGTTTCTTCTTTCAGGTTTGAATCCATGTGTTTTCATCTGTTTATATTTTTTGTGTGTACCTTTAGCTTTAAGGCATGTTTGCATCTTCTTCTGAATTCATACATGTACACTATATGTGTGTGTGTGTGTGTGAACATGAGTGTGCGTGCATGCTATGCAGAGAATTAGAGCGCAGCAGCTTTGTGCTCCGCCCGCTGCCTGTTGCTCAGCAGGCCTGTGAGCATCCATGGAGAGACTTACAGGCGTTTTGCTCTGTAGCGCAGTGGAAAGGCTCACGTTGCCGCAGCGCCCGCCAACCCTATACCAGCAGCCCCGGCTGTGTTGCCATGGCGACCACATTTGAGCAGTGTCTGGCTCTAGCTCTTCCTCTCTCTCTCTCCTCTTAGTTTTCTCTCTCCCTTTCTCTTTCTCATAACTCACCCCCCGCATGCCTCTCTTTTTCTCTGACTTTCTTTCTCTTTCACATCTCGTGCCCCCCCTCATTCGTTGTTTTCTCTCACTCTCTCACTCTCTAAACATTTCCCCCTTCCTTCCTTTCTTTCTTTCTTTCTTTCTCTCTCTCTCTTTTTCTCTCACTCTCTCTTTCTGTCCTGCCACACACACATGCACTCTCTATCACAGTGGCAGCCAATGGAACGGTGCCATCCAATCAGATGCGTTTGCATAACGAGCTTGTTATGCAGAGGCCTGTGGTTGCAGAGCTGGTGCTCCGGCACCCGTCTAGACAAATCTCATTTATGCATAAGAAGGAGAAAGAGAGATAGAGAAAGAGAGAGAGAGAGAGAGAGAGAGAGAGTAAATTAAGGATTGTGGATGGGGGATGGGAGTGGGGGTGGAGAGATGGAGGAGGGAAAAGCAAAGAAGCAGAACCACTGTTGAGAGAAAACTGCAAAAAGACGAGGGTGAAGTGTGCAACAAACCTCAGTGTGGACCAGAGTTCAATGTTACACACACACTCACACACACGCACACACACACACACACGCACGCACACGCACACACACACACACGCACGCACACACACACACACACACACACACACACACACACACACACACACACACATCACAGGACCAAAGAGGACTCTGGCAGCAACAATGAGGGAGTCTCTACTTTCAGAGGGAGGAAAATCAGATAAGTGCTGATAACGTAATCAAATTAGATGCTTCCTCATAATGGCTCCGCCTCGGGGAGATTGCAGAGGATGCCGCAGAAAAATATCAAACGAACGCAAGACGTGGATATGCAATAAAAAACCTAGTTCAACAAGAAAATAACACGGCTGTAAAAACACTTTATGGTACCAAAACAACGGTCCTTTTCTTCTTCCCAGAAATCAGCAACAGCTCTCTGTTGACTCACAATCCCTGTGAGGATTTTGAACTTATAAAAACAAGACTGAGGCTCATCTTGATCCGACCATTTCAGAGAGACATTAAAGTTACAAGCAGCTTTATTGTAGCCTCTGTTTTTTTTTTTACTATGAAATTAACTGCCTTATATAAACTCAGAGCCCCTTGCTTGTGGAGATATGTTGGGGTTAAAAGGACAGAAAACCCCCTTTGTGCCTACATAGCTGCTTTGTTTCACTTTAAATTAGCTGAAGAGGCTTGAAAACATTTCTCCATGGCTTCCATTTCTCCCAGCAGTATGTCTGACCTTAGACTGGGATGTTCCACCGACAGTGTCTGACCCCAATTGACTTCTGACCTGAGTCTGACACCAACCTTTAGGGAGTGATTGGAAGTGAATTACAGCAGCAGCGATTCCTCAGTGGGAGAGAGACAGACATTAAAAGGAGGGTGTGGAGAAAAAGAAAGAGATGACGCATGGACAGCAACAAAAGCAGCGAGGAAATCTGAGGTGATGCCTGTGAGAGACGGGAGGGACACAGAGAAGGATACAGAGCAGAGTCTGTGTGTGTGTGTGTGTGTGTGTGAGAGAGAGAAAGAGGGGAGAGTGTCAGAGGGAGTCCCCCCCTCATTAGCTCACTGAGACCCCGGAGCTCAGTGTTTACCACGAGCAGCCAAAGGGCTGGGTGGCAGCCTGGCCAGCCAAGCTCCTCACAGCACTGCTGGCATCTCCAGCCAGCAGAGGGGAACATCCTGGCGATGTAGCTGACACTGCCGAAGCCGTCGCCAACACAGGCGAGGAAAACACACGGGGATACAGTGAATTCCTGTAATCACTGAATAAAAACTACCAGAGCCTCTGAATTTGGATTATCACTTTTCCTGAAACTTGAGATGCTGCTGTTACTCCCCTTAAAGATGCACCTTAAGGTGAAACAAATAATCATGTTTCATGCAAGTCAAATGTGGTGTTAGTTATAGTGGCGAATCCACTGACCCATAAACCCATGAAGCTGCACTGCGGTTGCTCATCGACTCTGTTTTCTGGTATTACACCAAATTCTGTAACTCTTCTAATTCTGTGACCTACAAATTCTTCCTCCATCAACCTCATTTCCAGCAGTATGAAGGGGCCAATAAGCTCTAATAAACACAACATAAGCTACCCAGACAATGTTAGAAAACTGTTGCTATCACAAGTTGGAGAATATAGCAGTTAAAAACAGAAATTTCCCACATTTACGTTGAACTTTTATAAGTTGGTGGAGACCAAAGAAGAGTTAAAAGAATGCACAGCGTATGTATAGCCCTTGATTTGTTAGGTGGCCAGAAACACAGCTAAAATGACTTCTAAAGTGCCTTTTAATGTATATCTGTGACTTTATTATATGTTTTTTTTTTTTTATCTAATTGTGAACTGTTTAGTGTTGTGTTTAAATTCGCATCAGTCCTTTTTTTTTGGCTTTATTTGTTATTTAATTTTAAAAGTCCTTGTCCATGTCTTCTGTCGGTAAAAGTAGGCAATTCAAGCTAACCAGCTAACACATGCTACTAGGGTGTACAAGGACACAATGTTTTGTTAACATGATTGAAAGAATAGCAGACAGATAAACACCAGCCAGCAAATGTAAGCGGCTAACCACTTAGCTTCACCTTCCCACACCTGTCTGTTAGCAAGAGTTTTTGTGGGGGCAAATGATAAACTTAGACAAATACACACACAAATGATTTACCTCAAACAATTAAAACATATTTTAGAAGGTAGTAAGCTTCAGTTGCTGTAGCTTAGCTTAGCTTGCTACATTCCTCCCGGGGCTAGCCTGCTATATCTCACAAAATGCTAACCAAAAACTGACAAATATTTTTTGTACATTTTCAATAAAAAATGTTTTGCAGTGTATAAAGGACATTGGAAGTCTAATTACCTATAACTTACACTATCAAGGCCTATTAGCATTTAATCACTGGTACCCTCAGGCTATCATTCAGCAAAAACTCCACAGTTAGCTTAAAGGGCTTTGTGATTAGAAATTCCTTGGGATAAGGGATTCCACCACAAAAAATGTGGTTAAATAAAATCACAGGAACTGTTGGGAGCAGCTCAAATCTCTTACCAATCCAATTGTTTGAGACTAAAGGTTACAGAAACTTGACCGCCATATTTCCTCTGTCACCGCTCAGACTATCACTGCTAGCTTGGCACAAACACGTTACTCCTGACCTACAGTCCCTGCCATCAGCAGCAGCACCGCAGGCACAAATCTACACTCTAAACTGGCCCCCGGTGTCCACAGCTTACACTGGCAATGACGAGACACTGCTGCCAACCTCCCCTAAAGCCTGAGACAGTTCACTGCCTCTCATTTAGATTACAGAGGCCGTCCTGCAGCCAGCACACACCTCTCATCCAATTTCAGAGACATCAAAGGAGCCATGGTCGGAGGAAGAGAGGGATGAGCCAAAACACTCGCCAAGCTGTTGTGTCCGAGGTCATGACAGATGGTGTTTAGTGTGAATTACATCTTACCTCCTTTTTCCTCTTCTTTACTTTGGGCATTTTCCCCTCCTTCATCTTTTTGGGCTTCTTCTTCTTCTGTTGTTTGAGGGAGTCGTTGTCCGAGAAGAAGCTGTCGAGGGGCGTGAGGGGAACGGTGTTGCGCTCTCCTTCGTCATCTTCGTCTGGAAACACAGATTGCACATTCATTATCAGCTAAGCAACATAATGCAGTACACAGCGAAGAGTGCTTAAGATGATCGATCTGGAAATTTGGCCGTTGCTGTCGAGTTTGTCGAGTCTACGGCCAATTGGACTTGTAATGAGCCTGAATCTTTAAATTGGCAAATAAAGTTTGGCTCGTACGCTGCAGTGCAAAATCATTATTTTATCAATCCATTTAGCAGAAAAAGAAATATCCACCAATTTGACAAACCATCAGTATCTAATTGTATTCTATCAATAGCATCTCTCCTCTTTTATGAACTTTTATGATTTGCATAGATTTTAACATAACCAAGAGACTATTTTTCCAGCTGTCCAGTGTTTTAAATGTGTCAAACATCTGCATCCAACTCTTTCTTCTGCACAACCAACAAGCCGACCGGGAGCTGTGATGGAAATCTGGAGCTGAGACTGAAACATTTTCAGGAGGCCCAGATGTTTTATGCAGTATTTATTAAAGCTAGTGAGACAAGAAAAGGGACTAAAAAGAAAAATGTTTACACCGTGTTTGACCATCCATTTCTGCAGGTTTTCAGCTTGCAATAGGCACATAAATAGGCAACTTCCTATCCAAGGCCGTCCTTCATTTGATTAAAAAATAAATGTTAAGATGAAATGAAATGCATTACAATGACAGTATCAGTAACTTCTAACTTCCAATAGAAAGCCCCCACCATGGCATAGACACAATGCAATTGGGGTGAGGTACAGAAAGACACAATGCAAGTCTTGTTGAGTAACTGTTTTCAACTTTCCATAGTCATGGTTATCACCACCAGTGAACTACTAGAATGAATGTTATCGTTAGGGCAACTTTACATCTACAGTGTCTATTAGATATTTGATTTTAGACAAGTAAATACGCATACCAAAGTCAAGCCAATTAATCTGCCACTGCCTGACACCCAGCCCCCACCATTGGACCACAACCACCACCGTCCTCATTCATGCACGGCCTGCTCTGACCTCCACCTCAGGGGCAAGGAAGTATGGACAACAGGAACATCAGGAATACAAAGGAGAAATCCTTCCTGCATATTATCCTATGCTATTTTGTAAAGAGACTCAAGATAACTAACACTTGTTGTGAATTAGCGCTATACAAATAATGATTGATTGATTGATTGATTGATTGAATCTGCATTTCCTCAGTGTATGCAAATGTTTTTCTCAGAGAAAAGTAGACAGTTGTATTTTTGTAGAATGAGCTGAAGCAAATCTGTCAACGACTTTCAGGACCACTGAAGTAACTGAAGTGCTGAAGTAACTGAACTGATGTGTTGCTTTGAGATGTCCTTTAGCTTGCACGTTTTCAACTGGCCTTAATGTACTTTGGAAATCAATCACAAAACCTTAAATTCAAAACAAAGAGGAGTAAAACTGGAACGAAGGCAAACAAAAAAGTCCAGCAAAATTCTTGGTCTTAGCACACAGATTTGCATCTTCTTGTTTTTTTAAATTGTCTTTAGTTTTGTCCAGTTTTGTACTTGCAGATGTAAAGCATTAAATAGGAATCTGTGACAGGAATGTTTCAACTCTTCTTTATGTGTTAATATGCAAAATAATGATTTAAAAAGACAGAATAAAAAAATGTGTCTTTAATGAAAATAGGCAAAGGTTGCAGTCTTGGCCTACAGAACAAATAAAACAAATTGCAAAGGCTGTCAAACTGTTTATTGAAATAAAAATGATGAATCAATGCCAGACCAACAGACGTACACTTGGCAAAATAATAATCATAATCACACATCATTGAGCGTGGATCAACGTCACCCGTCAGAGCACACACAAATAGACGGAGTGCCTGCCCTGCCGCTAAATGGGAACTCCCAGGAGGACCACTGAGGTATACTGAGCATATCTTTCTACCTTCAACGCTCGCTGGGACTAAAGCGACCTGCTGCTGGTTGTCAGCTGTACTGTCTCAGAGCTGCTGTTTACAAACGCTCTGACTGCTGAGCGCAGCACACTTCTCTGATGCCATAGTGGGTCACAGAGGAGTAAGACAGGGAGCAAGACAGTCCCAAACAATACATCACTATAAAGAGACAACAAGAGAAATACACACAGGATGCAACCTCCTCGTAAAGGTCGATCTGATCTCGTTTTCTATCTCCCTCTCTGTCTCTGCCTGTCTTGGCGTCTCCTTCAGTCTATCTATCTGCGTGTCTCCCTCGCTCTCTGCGTCTCACGCAGACAGACTGGAGGGCATGAAATATGCAGCGCATGTATCAGAGTCAATCAGGCAACACTCGCCCTGCAGTCTACCACTCCCCTGGGGAACTGGAGTGAGAGATTGGGGAGGAGGGATTTCTGTGTAGTAGAAGCACCAAACTCGCCAACCATTTATCCTCTTTTTAGCAAAGCTAGCAGGAGGTACCCCATGCGCACACACACAGTGTGTATACATCAGTGATTTCAAAGCCTTAATCAGTAGCATGCTCATTGGTGTTTCCTCTGACCACCAGATACAATCCATAATCTCTTTCTATGTGCAAACTTTTGATCTCACAATGCATGCTTTGAGTCACAAACTTGTGGTTGAATGCATCAAAATCAACACTTTACACTGGCAAAAATTAAAACGAAAGTCTTCCTAATTAACATGATAAGAAGGTTAGAGAATAACTATGTCCCAAATCATGCGCTGAGTACTGCAGAGGGCGCTTTTCAAGACCTATTGCATCACAGCAACACTAGAGGGCTGTCCCATTTCGTAGGCTCCAACAAGGATCCATATGGTGCATCCTTCAGGGCCCAACATAATCCGAGATTTGTTGCGTACCATTTCAAATGAGATGGCGGGCTCTCAAGCCGGCGAGTTAAACACTATAGGTAATTCAACACAATCGCAAAGCTAACCAAATGACAGGGGCTTTGAAACTTCAAATTATCTTTATAGTATCTAGTATTTTTTATCTTTGATCTTTTTAGATAATAAATTCAGTTATGAAACGTTGAGTTTGCTAAGTGACATGAGCGGAGCTTCGTTAAAAAGGGAAAAGGCGGGGACAGCTGGTGACACAAATGGGAAATTCTCTGTAGGCCAAACCGTCTCATTTCAGTTCGGCCTGAGCCAAGCAAAGCCAGCTCTATGAAGACTGGGTCCTTTGTAGGCCCGGTCTTTCAAAGGATGCTACCCCTAGTGGGACACATGTTTAAAAAAGGGCACAGAGTCTCTTGATTTCAAAAGTTAAACTAATACATAAGTTCCTTAAAGATGCATTCTCTCTAAAGGCCAGCAGGGGGCGTCTGCACTTAAACCAAAGTAAGTAAGATCATATGGCACCAGATGGGAAAATAACCCTACTTCTCACTTTTTTTAATGACCTCAGTAAACATTTCCAAATTGAGTTTACGGTCTCAATTGTTCACGTCAAGTCTTCTTAAATAAAAATGTATGTTCATTTTGTAAATCATGGTCCCATTTGTAGAAAATATACTTTAAAGAATAATGGCTGGAACACCTTTTGATTGGTCGCTGCCACATATGGTCCGGTAATGCATATCACCTCTTGTCCCAATATGGCCAAATTGCCAAATTTAAAGCTTAAAAATGACAGTCCAGCAGCCAATGGTATAGCTCCACTACTTATTACTAGACTATTTATTGATCCATGAACTCTGGGTGATATTCTATGAGTCTATTTTCTATATTGATTAGTTACATACATAGATCATCCATCTGTGATCATATTACGACTATCATTTTTTGTCTCCTTATTCTTTCCGTCTGCCTCGCTAACAGACCCACCAGTTTCTCTCTGCTTTCTTTCTCCCTGTCTAAATAAAGCCTTCACTTTAAGTATCCAGTCTCTCAAACAGGGAGCTCTTTCATGTCTCAGATGTATCGTAGTCGCCTGCCAGGCAACTCATGAAGGCCTCGCAGTAAGTCTAACATCTCTGTTAGACCCACAGATGATGACACAGCGTAGATGCAGATGGAAATGTCCTCAGGTTACAATAAAACAGACACGTCTTTTCTCTGCCAGTTCCTCTTTCTCTCTAACAGTGAGCTATGGCTGGCAGGTTGATCACAAGTCACTGATTAGGAACATCAAAGGCTACCGGACTGTCTTTGGTTGTGCATCTTCTCTAGGCTACAAAAATCACTCAAACATGACAGTATAGCTGTGAGATGTGTCTGATGTGGATTTTTTAAAAGTTTGGTGACATCAGTAGCATAACTCAAGGGATGGTGACACCAGTCTGTCAGTACGTCTACCACTTCGGTCCAGACTCAAATAATACAACATCAGCTGGATGAATTGGCTAACATTTTTTAACATTCAAAGTTCCCAGATGATGAATCCTCACGACTTAGGTGATCCTCTGACTTTTTTTTTCTTGTGTCAGCATGAAGTGGACAAGGTGGCCAATGCTCTGCTAGCCGTTTAGCTTGTAGCATATTTAGCTCCATTATTGTGTATGACAAGCGGCGGCTCACAAGCGGACAAGAGGCTAGCAGCCCCACTTTTTAACAGCTTTTCCTCCCTCATTGTGACACAATCAATGGTGACCCTCTGGCTTGAGGTGGACAATTGTACTTTTAGTACTTCACTTAAATTGACCAGCAAGGCTTCACTATCCTCTTAGCTTGTTGCTAATTCACCCCCGTTCTTACGTATGTGTTGTAAGCGGCTGATTTGCTAGCTGCAGCACTTTTTAACAGCTTTTCCTCCCTAATTCTGACTTAATCAGGCATTTAAAGAAAACAGAGAAATGCTAATGTATTAACACATCTTTTGGGGGACTGGTTTGATCAAAATTAATGATCAGTTCAAAAAAGAAGTGATGCAATCAAATGTAAACACACAGCCAATTGAAAGGCCTGCTGAGCCAAATAATTATGTACGCATTCACAAGCTGCTATACATATTTGCATATTTATCAACTTAACTGTAAAACAATTTCCACGACTAAAATGTGTAGCATACTTCTTGTTTAGGCTAATGCTAAAGGATGCTTAACTGCATTGTAAACATGTTAGCATACTAATGTAAGCATACTTCAAAGTACATGTGTGTGGGAAGGGTTGCCATAAAATGGGTTTTACTTTATATTTTTTGTATAATTAAGCAAATGTCTGCATGCTATCACACAAAGCTAACACAGTTAACCAAAGCAAAAGCCATTTACATGGGCAGGGTGGTTAGCATGCTGATTTAAGCTTTTAGCTTGGAAACCGTAGTGACACACTGCTATACACATAACATGTAGCCTTCATTGTGTTTATTGCCAATTAGCAAATTTTGGCATGCTGACAAATTAAACTACAAAGTCAACAGTTTAACATTGAGACATACACTTGAAGGCATGCTGATGTAAGCATTCATCTCAAAGCACCGCTTTGTCTTGAGTGTTGTCATGAAATTAACTACTATATTTAATACGGCTAACAAAACAAACTGGACAAATACTTAACACTATTATAATCGTAACTAGCATGTTTGCATGCTAATGTTAGCAATGACATCAAAGCGTAGCTGTCTGATGAAATGCCTCACAGCTGCAATAAACTTATTCAAACACAAAGTTGAATCACTCACAAATACAAATGTTCTGTCAGAAGCCTAATGCATCCATTTTTAGAAAGTGTGACACAAATGCATTTCATTAAAATACAAATTAAATAAATGTCAGTGTTTAACACCTGCATAGCCTTCTAACCTGAAAGCTGCCTGCACTAAATGGCCTGTGAATTCCCCAAAGGGAAAGCCATGAGGGGAATGATAATCTCTCTGCTCGGTGTGTGGAGCAGGCTGTGCCAGGTGTTATTAGGGGGGGGGAGAAGGTTGCTCAGTCATGTGGCACAGGAAGGTCTGGCACCAAATTCTGTTAGAAAGAGGCCCAGATCTCAACTTGGCAAAGCAGCCCTGTGTAAAGTGTGGACGGATGGCACGGACACAGTTCTGACCTTCCTGCAAGGGCTTGGCCACCGGACTGACCCATTAGAGGGGAGATTCATGAGCGGCTCCCAAGTGAGGTAGCTACAGTTTACTGGAGAGCACATTAGCCCTTTTCCTGTTGGCCCCTGTGTGGAAGTACACACTTAATGTTGCCCAGCATGAGAGAGGCAGAACAAACCCGTGTTTTTTCCCCCTTCCTCATTGATTAAGTGCTTATAGCCGAGGCCTGCGATGCCTTCAGACAAAGACATCCTTGGACTATTAATAGAAAATCTAATCATCAAAGTGATGGAAGGATAAAGCCCAAGGAGCACCATTAAAACGATATCTATTACAGACAATGTATGCACATGTTCATAATGCGTGCAATATAATAAAGGCTCTAATGCTGCACTGCTCGTGTGCAAATACATTTAAAAAAAGAAAAGAAAAAAGCATCTCTCATCGTGCACGCGCAGCAGGGAAAAAAATGGTGTCAACTTTCACAGTGAAGGATCCAAAAATAGACCATCTTTCCAATTGGGGATAACATTTGTAGGCACACAAAAGCCCATGATAATCTTTTCAATTTTAGGGAAGCGCAAAACAATTAAAGGAGAAAACACAATGGAACAATCTGTGACAGTGTAAGCACCCGCAGTGAAACAAAGGGAATTAGGACACTTTATGTGCCACAACAAATAAAGGCTGTGATAGGATAGCGTTGAGGGGTCTGAAGCCCCCCCGAGGGACCTGCGGGTTCTACATTGTTGGGTTTTAATTGCATGGGAGCTTCTTGATTAGGGGAAGAATCTGACCGGGATGCCTGACCTTGTCTGTCACTTTGAAGCCTTTTGATGGAGATCCTCAAATGTTTCTGCAGAGAAACAATGGATTTGAGAATCGTACAGGGTCATGATATTGGAAGATTCAGCCAACAGAAATCCTTTATTCAAAAAACGATCATTTAAAACGTTGATAGAGGGAAGTTCTTCATCAACGAGGCTTTTATTAAGACACAAAACACAAGATGATGTTTTAGGTTAACTGACTTTTAACCCCCTTAAGCTTCACCACATTAGAAAAATCCTTTGATATGTTTATTTCCAACATGATGAAAATGCTAAATTCCCTCAAAGATGACCTTAAGTAATTCCGACTGACACATGAAATGATCTGATATTTCGAACCCGATTACGGCTCACAAGTCTTCACTCACTCTGTAATCAATTGCACCTCTCCTTCCTCATACGTGTTTAACCCACACGGGGGTTATTGGGGACACGCATCAGTGCTCGTGTTCTCCCTCAGGCTAAAGCTGGCAGTCACTTCATAGACGATGCCTCCGCCGCTAAACACTCCTCTCCCCCTTCTCTCACGCCGTCTGTCTTTTTGTCTCCCTGCTGCACACCTTCTAAAAAGCAAGCACGCTAATAATCAGCTTCAACAAAAATATTGTGTTTAAAACAAGGAGGGAAAAGTTTGAATGAGAAAGGGCAATTTTAAAAAAAACCTGGCCTTGGATGGAGGAACATTTCTGTTTTAGAAAATACTCCACAATGCTGGGTATACAAACAATACTTTAATTACTGTTGTGATTGTCGAACAAAAAAGCTCTCGAGGTTGAAGACCTTCGTCGTGAATGGTGAACAAAAAGTGCACCATGGCAACCATGTTGTGTGAAAATCGTTCATTACCATACATCTTTTTGTTGCCAAATGTTTCTTGTAGGTTTTCAGCTTCAAGCTTGAACATTTCTAGTTTACCAGTATGACAGACTTGAGCTTAATTTTTTAAAGGTTTATTTTGGGGGCTTTTGTGCATTCATTTTAAAGAGACAGGGAAGACTCAGAAATTGGCACGAGAGCGAGTGGGGCATGAGTGAGAGAAAGGAGCCACAAGTCAGATTCAAACCCGGGCTGCCCACTTGGAGGACTGGCACCTCATACATAGGCCGCCCGCACTAACCACTATAGGCTACTGGTGCCACCATTGAGCTTCATTGTTATGCATGTGAGAAGCACATCATCACCAAAAACAACAAATAAGAGGTTGGCTTCCTGGCTAGAGAAATCATTGCATTCAACCCACAACTTTTCATTCATAGTCAATCTATGGTTTTGAAAATTACAAAACTTTTCCAAATAAAACGAGGAGGGAAAATCGGCTTTTATCTTCTGTATTGTCTTTTGTCTGCACCCTTTCATCTATCCCCCGCCCCTCTTAATAAAGTTATCCGTCTATCTTAGGTCTTGTCCTTAACATTAAAGCATTGTTCATTCACAATGAGCTGCAAGTAAAGAAATAAATACCAATCTATTGACTGCACTGGTCAAACTTAGCATGCCCTGCAGAATGCTATATTGCAAAGACCAACACAAATATCTTGTTCAACAGCAAACAAAAAGTGCAAAAGACGTGGAGTCGTCTCATATTTTAAGTGTGTCAAGCTTTTGTTGATACTGGAAAACATTTCTCTCAATATACTGAATTATAACTGAAAAACAGTAGCCTTTCTGTATCTGTGCACATGCCAGCAAAAGTGAGGAACCTTATCACCCCAAAAAAAAAAAGAAAAAGATCCTAAGAGATCCTGGACCTGCTTGACTGAGACAGCTGTACAGATGTTGATGAAGCTGTCTCCTGGCTGCATATGACACACAACCCAGTTAGCACATGGCAGCCATGCCCTGAAGCTAATCCCATCACTGGTTCATCTAATAACCAGAGGAGCAGAATTCATGAATCTTATATCATAAAAATACATCAGGCTATCCAGCTAGACACTGTGACTGAGATTTACTCAAGAAATCTAAGGCTTTCTCTAGTTAAAAGGAACATTTCTTCAGGACATATAGAGTTATTTGAAATGAGAAACCTAACAGTCAAGACAAACAAAGCGAGCATCATTTGGCAGGTGGCTTTGTGTGTACAGGTCCTTAATTAAGGAATCCGAACAGCCACTGACTATGGATTCGTTTTTAAATATTATTTAATGCCATTCATAGCCTACTTCAATTGGATCTCTGCCAGAGATTAATGTAACACCCACAAGAAATATAGCACACATTTGGCATTGCATGAAGACATGACAAGCCATGAGAAATGAATGGGTAGAATTGCTTTGCAGTATGTGGGTTAGAGTTAATTTCAGTGAGTGCACGACCCAGAGCTGCAGGGATGCTGGTGACCTAACCTCGCTGTGGTCAGCCACAGTGCCCACAGGAGGGTCCAGGCAGAGACACACTAAGATAAGCAGTGTTTACTGTAGCCTGCACGTGGCTTTCACACCTCTGCGGCCATGTAGAGGCTGGGAAAACATTCAAAGTTGGAGCAGTAGGTGACAAAAAAAAGAAAAGGACGGATGTTGTCACTGCAGCCTATTTTTACTTAAAAACATACGCACACATATCACAGCACACGCTCACACCGTACAGGCTGAGTGTCAGGGGTTTTAAACAGCTCTCTGAAGCTTTAGAAGATGAAGAAATACACTCGCACACGCATGCACAAAGCAGCCTGCAGAAAGCATGCAGCAGCGGTTTGCATCATGCCCCCAAAATCCGGATGGATGTGAGGACAGCCCAGAGGCAGATCCCCCCCCCCCCACACACACACACACACACACACACACACACACACACACACACACACACAAACAATCCCACCTTTAAGACACTAGGTCGTGCACAAAATAATAGCATGACTCTGCTTATTGCACCCCACCCCTCCTCCTCCTCCTCCTCTTCCTCCTCTGGTCTCAGGAACGCAGGACAAGCCCTTTTCCCCGCATTCAAGGCGTAGCGGCGCAAAAATAATGTGAAGGACACCCCGCCTCCCCCCCCCCCCCCCCCCCCCTTCCCTCTTCCCCTCACCTGGCATATCGTCTTCAAAATCCATGTCGTCCTGTCCCTCGTCTTCATTACTCAGCGACCCCGGCATCTTTATCTCATAGCCCCCCAAACCCCTTTTAGGCTGAGAATACTGAAAGTTAACCCTCCAGACGCCGCAGCCCAGGCTCTTTCTTCACCCAAAAAGAAATCTAATCCTCGCTCTGTTAATTTTTTTTTAATTTTTATTTTTTTTGCACGGCATCTGCTGCTTTCTCTGAAGGACTAAAAAAAGACAAAAAAACATGTCATTGTTAAAAATCTTTTTCTTTTTTTTTTTTTATTCCACTGATCTCTATCCAGGTCTCCCAGTCTGAAAAATAAGAAAGACAAAAATGGAACACACATGCCCAGATTGTGACGTCTGGTCTGTTGCCATGACGATGCATCCCATAATTTCACCCACAACTAGTTAGTCGTGCTCTCCTAGTTACCACTTTAACTAGTCGCGTGCGAAAAAAATAAAAACAAACAGCGTGCGGAAGCGCCATGTGCACCGCTAAAGAGACGGAGACAGTCCTGCGCCTGTCGCCTTTGGAAGTCCGGAGAAAAGAGAGACAAACTTCTGCTGCTCAGCTGCTGCTCTCACTCGCTGCCTTTTCATTGCATATGAAACAAATGTGGGTTTTAAAGGGGAAAGGTTTTTTTTTTTTTTTTTTTTTTCTTTCCAATCTAATGCATTCAAAAGAAGGCAGCCTCTTTTTTTTTGCAAGCTGCCACATTTTCCCAAGACATGTAGGCTGATAAATACATTTATGAAAAGAGGAGAGGGGGGGGGAAGATCCACACTTGTGCCTGCTGTGTGAGGAGTCCTGCCTGCCTGTGGTCTTAACTGTTGTCGAGGTTACCACAGCTGTACCACAGGATGCCCCACTGAGAGCTCACAGAGAGTTTCAACTGCACTGAGGGCTCCTCAAATACTCAAAACAAGAGCTGCAAGAGACCAAACCACATGGACTGCACTTCAGTTTTTGGAAATGTTATTATCCTAAGTGTTTTAGTATGACATTTGTTGTATTTTATTGCATTTTTTAACTCTATGTATGCCCTTATCTACTGTTTAAAAGAGTCATCTTAATTTAGGTAACAGGAAGAAAAAGAGAGAAGCTAGTATTGTAAAAATGTTTTCTATTTATGAATTTATTTTTAATTTCACCCAGGACATTTGAACGACAGATATTTGTCAAGATCACCCACAACTGTATAGAAAATACATCAAAGGGAACATGATGCGTCTGCCTCCAAGCAGGCCGACCCAAAGAAAGGTCTTCCATCGATGTCCTCTGTGTGTTGTCCTCTACCTGGCTCCGTTTAGCTTTTGGAGCTTAATTGTCAGGGTCACATGCCTTAACCGCCTTTCTTTCTGGCATCATGAGCTCTCTGCAGGCCCTGGCACAGTTACGCTAAGTTCAATGGACTCTCTCACAACTTTAATGCTACAAAAAAGGGTTCATACCATTTTATAAAGAGAATATTTACATTTTTAAACAGACAACAATGAATATAGTGTGTCTCTTTGTTGTGTCAATAAGCAACGGAGTATTTAGGTTTAATAAATTGGTTATGATTGATTACATTTTTGGATGGACCATGTTTCACCCAATCGTAACAGGCCCTAGAAAGCTCCCTGTTCCCTCCCTTTTTAATTCTCTTAAAATCATCCAATGAGAGCAGCTTGTTAAGTTTAGGCTATTTTTGTTATTCATTCCTAGTAAAGGGAGCAGTAATCTTAGAACGCCTTTTCTATAGTTCAGTTCTGACTAATCGAACAGACAGCAAGAAAAGGTCTTTGGATCGAGGATTATAAATTCCTGTGCTCTTCATGACATCACAAAGGGCAGTAGCCCCTCCCCCAGGTGGGTGACACTCCCACAGCTAGGTGTTTGTTCTGACCTCTGAGTCTGCCTTCTCACCGTAAACAACAGGGCATGGAGCGAGAAAGACCAAGCCACCCAAGCCCTTCCAGAGAGGGGGCGTGTTCAGACACAGCTTATTTACATTTAAAGGTACAGACACAGAAATAGCCTGTTCTGAGCAGGGCTGAAATAGACGAGTTTATAGACATGATCAAATACAGGACCAGAGTGGGTTTAGAACAAGAAACTTCACACGTTTTGGAGAGTTGAGACTTATTTAAACTGGTTAAAAAAAGAAGAAAATATTTAACGTTAAGTCTAAAGCCCAAAGATATTTTAATGTATGTAATATAAACAGGAGAGAAAGCAGATCATCTTCATATTTTGAGGCCACTTTTGGATGAGAACCGTTTAGTGATTATCAGAGCAGTTGTGAGGCAGTTCTGCCTTTTGACTCCGCAGCTCTCGATACAGCCTGATCTGCCACACATGACTCCCAGGGAACACGATTCAAGTATTATTCAAAAAAGAAAACGCATTACTTTCTTCTCAGTTTTTATTAAAAGGGGTGTCAGATTTAATCTTCCTCCTCTTCCTCCTCTTCGTCCTGGTTGATCTGGAAGTAGCGCAGCTCGTAGCTCTCTTTGGTGTTGGCCACAACACGCAGCCAGTCCCTGAGGTTGTTCTTCTTCAGGTACTTCTTGGTGAGATACTTCAGGTACCTGAGAGACGTGGGAGCAAAGGAAATCAGTCGTGGTGATATGAATCATTTTATACCGTTCGTTGTTGTTCACTTTGGGTCTGCACTGGTACCTTTGCATGCAGAAATCCTAAAGTCTACCTGGGTGTGGACTATGCATCAAACTCCACTTCTGACAGCTGACAGGGGGAGGGGTAGCCTAGTGGTTAGTGCAAGCGCCCTATGTACTGAGGATAAAGTCCTCGAGAGCGGGCAACCCCAGTTCGAATCCGACCTGTGGCTCCTTTCCTGTATGCCATTCCTCCCTCTCTTCCTGACTCTATCAACTGTCCTATCTCTTAATAAAAAGCCCAAAAATAAAACTTAAAAAAAATGATGACTCACAATCGATTATCCCACTCAGTACTTACAAAAAAGAGGCAGACAAGGTCAAAAAGGTCAAAAGTGTTCTGGTTCTAGCTACTCCTGTGAAAGGATATGGCGTTTTAGGATTTATTTAGGAGAGACAGGACAGTAGATAGAGTCGGAAATCAGGCAGAGAGAGAAAGAGTGGGGAATGACATGCAGGAACGGACCCACAGGTCGGATTCTAACCCAGGCCACCCGCTTGGAGGACTACATCCTCGATACAGGGGGCTTGTGCACTAACCACAGCACCACCGGCGCCCCAGCGTTTTATCTTTTGACAGTAAATGAAGAGTTGATTGGAGAATAAAAGCAGTATGAAGACGTCCCCTTTTGGCTCTTTGGAAATTGTGAAAAACAGTCATCACAATTTTTTGACATGATAAATTTTAAATGACTTCTCAATCGAGAAAATAAAAAGGTCTGATATACAAATAAATACATTTAATATAAAGTTCCAGCCCTATTTTTAAGATGAGTCTTATCGTTACTTAGACTATCATTCAACAAGACTCTACTTTCAGTACAGAGCAGGGTAAAGCGAGGTCTATTAACTGGCACAAGATGCCTACATCGACAGCACTTCAATCATAAACAAAGTTCAGGCATCTAATGACTTATGAGTAAATAGAACAAGTCCCTATTGTTGAGATTATTGGGCTTAAAAAAACCAAAACACAATGTGAATGTTTGAATGAATTTGAATTTTCTGGACTTCATAGAAGCAGAGGTTCAGCAGATACACTGACATCAACATGTACCAGTACATTTCCAGTCCTAACATGAAGGGCTCCTGTTAACAACGAAAGGTGTTAGCGCCCCCCTCTGGTGGTGAAGTGCTTACTGTAGCTCTGATTGACAGAGTTTGAACTTTTTCCATTTATTAACCTTTGCTACATGTGTCTTCTCTCCCCCCCCCCTCCTCCCAACATGCCCCGTCTCTCTTCAGCTGTCCTGTCCAATAAAAGACAAACGTTACTTTGCTCATGACCCCCTTCTTCTCAAATCATTATGGGTGAAAACAGAAAGGGGGGGGGAGATGTTTTAATACTTGAGGGCTGTGTTTAATTGTTAATGCCCAATTCTCTAAATGCACTTCTGAGCTGCTTTGTCACAAGATGAAGAAAGGGAAAGAAACCCTGCTCGCCTTGCATTTCAGTCACACTGAAATAATCGAGCGTACCAGAAAAACAAAGGCCAACACAAAAACTAAGAAATAATTAGATAAATTATAGAACTGAGGTTTTATCAGACCCTCTTATGCTCTCTAAAAGGAGCCTGCAAACACACTTAGACAAAGAATGTCCCCATAATATCAAAGAAGAAAATAACAATCTGCAGTTTCACACAAAGAGAACGGCACATGTTGGGATTTATAATTATCAGCTGACATGGAAAGTAAAAAGTTTGAATAACTCAGACCTTTGATTCCCCACAAAGAATCACAAGTAGACAGTTTTTTAGCAATCTCTTGTAAATTATAACAGGATGGTAAAATGCTAAAACCTGAACTTTAAGTGACCACCTGATATTCCTTAATAAACAGGAGACAGGGCGCAGATGGCCTAGCGGTTAGGTCGTGCCCCATGTACAGTGGCAACAGTCCATCAAGCAGGTGGCTTGGGTTCAGGTCTGACCTGCAGATCATTCCCCAACGTTCCTACTCTATCCACTGTCCTGCCCAAGTAAAAGTCAAAAGGCCCCAAAAATAAATCTTCAAATTTTTTTTTAAAAATTGTACCTCTTTGAGAAGGGAACTTCAGAGTTCACTGCGATTTTACTCTTGCTCCTTTCAATGGACACCACACCTCCTCCGAGGTTTCCAGACTTGCCGTTCACCTTGATGCGTTCCTGCAGGAACTGCTCCTGTTGGTGCAGACGAAAGAAAAAGTCAGATACAGCAGGGAAGGGTAAAGGGCATCGAATCAATACAATCCATTAAGATCCAAATCAAAAGTAGGTTTTTGGAAGAGAAATATGAAACTCAGCAGAGGCAGAGATAACAGTTTGATTTGAATCACTAAAGTTGAGCACTTCACTTTGAGTCAGTTGGTCTCTGGTAGATCTTCTGCTGCTGGTGTGTACTTGTGATCCACCTTAACACGCATGAGAGCTTCTTTAAACTAAAGTCGTCGTCAATGTCAGCAAGCCAATAGTGTCAGAGGAGAGGTAAAATAATGTTTGTCAAGTGAGCAAAGACTGAAGACAAATCTTTATCCACTTTTTTTGGACGTCTAATCTTTAAATGTGTTGTCCTACTTTCTGTGTTTTGTCTGATATTGTTATTTCATGATGTTTGTATATATTCGTATTAAGTACTGTATTTTACTTAGTACATAAATTTAATTTGGGCTGTCGGATATAATCCAAATAAATTATATTTTACCCCACAGTGAGTCTAATCTGTCTGTTGACACACAAGCAGTAGGGAGGAGAGGTGTGTGTGTGTGTGCTTCCAGGCGAGCAGAGAGCAAGAGGGGTGTGTAGCATCATTTTAGTAACCTCAAAGTGCTAATGCTTCCCTTTATAAAGACGTATTAAAAAAAAAAAAGCTGCTAGGTTATGTCCGTAGCTTTCCTGTGTTTAAATATATGCC